ACTCGTGCTTTTTGCGACGGTTTGCCGTTCTCCAAGGAAACCCAACAAGTTCGCGCTAAATCTATTTATCGTCTCAAAGTAACCCCATGGAACGACGTTCCTAAGAACCTTGTTAAGAAAGTAAGAAACGTTGTAAGAGGTAATGGAAGATTATCGCATTCTGCTTGAGTGATGGTTTTCGTTGTGTCGCCAAGATTACTGTTTCGAGTCTAAACTGTTACATTTACCAAATCCCCCGAATTTCAAATTCCCCAAATTCTAAATTCCCCCAATTCCAAATTCCCCAAATTCCAAATTCCCCCAATTCCAAATCCCCCAAATTCCAAATTCCCCAAATCTCAAATTCCCCAAATTCTAAATTCTCCAAATTGCAAATTCCCCCAATTCCAAATCCCCCAAATCCCAAATTCCCCCAATTCCAAATTCCTCAAATCTCAAATTCCCCAAATTCTAAATTCCCCAAATTTCAAATTCCCCCAATTCCAAATTCCCCCAATTCCAAATCCCCCAATTCCAAATCCCCCAATTCCAAATCTTCCTCAAATCTCAAATTCCCCAAATTCTAAATTCCCCAAATTTCAAATTCCCCCAATTCCAAATTCCCCCAATAATTCCCGAAATTCTAAATTCCCCAAATTGCAAATTCCCCCAATTCCAAATCCCCCAAATTCCAAATTCCCCTAATTCCAAATCCCCCAAATTCCAAATTCCCGAAATTCCAAATTCCTTAAATTCCAAATTCCCCCAATTCCAAATCCCCCAAATTCCAAATTCCCTCAATTCCAAATTCCCCAAATTCCAATTTCACAAATTCCCTATTTCCCAAGTTCCTATTCTAAATAATAAATATTTTATACGCGCAAAACATTTAAAATTATATATAATATTTTAATTGTCCGTCAAAATAAACTTTATACCTATCTGCAACCGCAAATTAGATGATATTCTAGCAAAGTACATATGTAATCCGAATGTTGTCATACGCTACGATACACTCTACCGTAATCCGCTTGTGATAACTTTATATCAGTAATGCCGTCCCACATTGACGAGTTTATATAGCTGGTCAGATTGTTAGTGACGCATCTCGGACTTTTAATGCCAGAATCGCGTAATTATTTCATTCGATGATCGTTCGTATCCACTTTACTTTATTCTACGTGACATTTCATATCAATCAATATATGTGGATTCTTCAGTGAAACAGTACGTAGTCATTATAATGGCATATGGAACATTTATAACATTCTGAACATTCACGTGACTACAACGATCGTTACTGATATTTACATTATTGTGTAACACTTGAAATTATACACGTGCCGCGATTAAGAAACAATAATATTTATATAATACATGAATCAGTTCTTGGAAACTTTGGTTAAAAATAAATATTACAATTTTATTGAAAAAACGAATATTCAAATTCATTAAGCCGACGTGGAGCAAACTGCGCTCATTATTCCCCTTTTAATTTTGACGCGAACTTTCGAGTGTCGTAAACATTGATCACTACTGCGCACGGTAAATATACCTACATGTTTATGTACGCACTGAGTTGCACACCACATTATTCATTGATAAATGTCAACAGATAAGAAAAACTAACGTATTTGCTTAATCAAATAACAGTGGATTAAGAAGATAAGTACATTACACAGAGTATCATGTTTTATCACAGTACGTATATACATTGTATATACTTATTAATACTTCAAGACTGTTATCGTCAAACTTTCAAATTTCCAAATTAAAAAATGGTTAAATATTCCAATTTTCAAACTAAGGAATTCAGACATTATTCAAATTTATTAGTATTAGCACTAATAACATCTAGAAAATTCTACCGCGTACATTAAACTCTCAAGTGAAACTCGAGAGATTCACAAGTGAAATACTATAAATAATCCTCTATCTAATACAAAAAGAAAAGCTGTTGATTTTACTGTACATTCTAATGTACAGTATATATACTATCATTTCAATGATTAATTGTAACTGACTGTAATGAAACGATACCTGTCAATATACATCTTCTTTCCCGTTTGTCTTACTGTGACAACTCAACAACAAACTACATCTGTTTAGTGTATTATTTCGTACTCACTCGAACGCATGAAAACAAGCGAAGGTGACGCCTGGAAAGAGCAGGTCATCGCTGCCGACTCGCCAACGCCTGCCAAACGCGATGAGACCCGGCATTTTCCGGACGATTTTTGAGAGGTTCGATCAAATAATCGTCCTCGTTTTCGAGAAAAAACACCACCCACACACCGTGACATAACCTATACCGGCACCAACTACACGACAAACGTGCCGACCGACCAACGCACGTTCGTTTACTGAACGAACACGACCGGCTCGACTCGTCGCACTTCGTGACTCGTCGGCGGTTACAGATGGACTGAATGGAGATACGTGGGACGAAACTATATGCATAGACGCCGTTGATTCATGGCGAAGGGAAAAATTTGGAGGGAAGTTTGGATCCCAATACAGATCAAGACGATTCTAAGACGATTCTTCTTTGGAACCATTTTATAGTACAAAATATATAACATTAAGAAGGTTGAGTGCACAGGAATGTAACTTTAAATGAAATACGAAATCTTTAAATGTGTACAGTGGTGCGGAGGAGGTAATAGAGCTACAGGAAGTATTCGGAACTTCTCTTTGTACAGGTAAGGAAATGAATAGTATTGAGATTTTTATTAATTCTGTTTGAAATGGAGCATTAAAGTTTTCTGTATGTAGAAGAATATTTGATAAAGTACAATTACCCATTAACGAAACGTCAGAGTGTTTGGAAATGATTTCCCGCCATTTTCAATAATGGCGGTAAAATATTAAACTAACCTAGTGGGTAATTCAATTTTCAAAAAATTTAAAAAGGAAAACAATTCAATTGCTTATTTCATCCATGTTAATTTTTAATATCTGAGTATTTCATCCGCTCTTTTTTAATCAAAAAAAGTATTGTAACTATTGGAACGATAAAAATAATTTTAATTGCGTCGCACGATAACAGTGTGCATCGGAGCATCAATTTTCGAGTGACAATAAAATTGTAACTTTTCGAGATAAAATTCAACAAGCTCGTGAACGATACGCGATGCGATAAAACTAGAAAATTGGTTGTACATTCGTTGAAAGAACCGTCGAATCGTCAACAATGGCCAGACGTTGTTTTAATTGAAATTTTATCGACTGTGTTGTCCCTTGTGAAAGAAAACACGAGGGAAACCATGTTCCAGCATTGACGTATCGAAAGACACAAGTTTACAGGGATAACGAAAATGAAATGGACGATCGCCAATTTCTCTCTCGCTTCGTCTCTTTCCCGGGTCATTTGCCACGTTCGTTAACGATTTTCCGAAGCTAAGACTTACGAACACGAACCGTCTTGCTCGCGACACGAAAACTACCCTTTGATCATCGCTAATAATAAGCCCGTGATATCGACGACTAATAATCTACTCTAATCACGCAACAAATTATAACACTTTAGACGAAATGCATTTGCTTGTTGATACAAGAAAAATACGAGATAAAGAAATATCAATATTAAACCTGCTGACTGTATTTTTAGAGTCGCATCCGAATTTTATCACAGAGATATTGGGAAGTGACCAGAAATACGGCAAAATATTATTAATCCGAACGATGTTTACTCGGATCCAGAATTATTTTATGTCGAATTTTAATAAATAATTTTGTAAATACGATTTCAGGTAAAACGCGAGGAATTTAGCTTTCAACCCAGCATAGAACATGATTCATTAAAATTTCTTAACAAGCAGTAATTAAGCATTGAAATGCTAACTAAACGAAAGTAAAAATATAAATTTAAAGCGCTTAATTTGTAGCGCAACCGGTGGATCTGTACAATTTATCATTGTCTCATAATTTCCGTTCTATGGCTGAAGCAGCTGAAATTGAACTAAAACCCCGAAGTTGGATAACATCGCCAGAGAAACTTGAGGATATAATTAAAATTTCTCTCTCTCTCTATCTTTGTCCTTCTCTAATTTTGTCACTGTACAACTAATCACGCTTAATTACATGTTATATAATAAATCGTCCAATTTTGTACTCGTATTCGAAAGCCGCGTAGCAACAACGCGTAATGTAAGTGGCCTTGCAGACTCTCGGATCAATCATCGCATTTCGAGCGGCAATTAAAGGACGGAAATTACGTATTCTGAGAATATCTGTGTCAAACAGGAATGTGAGGGTAACTTGACATTTCGGGCTGTCGTCGGGTCGGGTTAACTTAGGCAAATCCCAACGGGTACCCGTGATACGTATGTAGACTGTTTCGGGCAGTTATACATATTACATTCGAGTAAAGCCGGAGAAAATCGAAAGAGCTCGAACAAGTTCTTGCAATATCAAGTGGATTTCTACATGTTTTAACTTCGAAAATTGGTTGATTTGTAAATTTGGAAGTTTTAAATTCGTAAACTTCTAAATTTTTCATTTCTGAATTTGAAACTTTCATATATCAAATTTTTACACAATAAACTTTTCAACTTAAAATTTGAAATTTGAAAACACGAAAATGTTTAAATTTTTAAATGTAGAAAACTTTTCATTGTTTGCAGTGCTAATGAAATCGAAGCAAATTCGGTGGGCTTGAACGGATTTTGAAGTATACGATATCGAACGGAAATGCCCTAATACCCGCACTTTTTTCCGACCAAACTCGACAGCTGCGATTGAAGATACAGTCGATTATCCGCACATCCCAAGTAAGTATGATCGAAATACGCAACGTCGGTATGGATGGATGGATGCCTAAAATGTAGGTCACGCGGAATCATGCCGTGGACGTACCCTATATTTAAGGAGCTTCTATAAATAAAAAGGACATCTCTCTGACGTGTGATATATCCTATCGTTGAAAATGCTTGAAACTGCTGAAAATAACGATGGCTGGCGTTACAAAGCGATTGATCGAGATCCCGTTATTAATGTCGGTTATAGGTATGTTCACTCACCATATCAGATGCAGGATGAACAGGAAAGCGCCGGGTACAACAAGGTCGTCGCTGCCGACGCTCCACCGTCGTCGGAATACCACGATACCAGGCATCTCTTCTCCTCCGTGTCAATTCTTCCATTCAATCGGCTAAAGTGCTCGCTCACGAGGTCGATGAGAACTCGAGGCACCGGCTTTTCGTCCTCGAATCACCGGCTGACGCGAACTTGGCCCTTGCTCCGAAACCTCTTCGGTACTCGACACGATCGTCGTTTATCTGATCGAGGTCGTCGTCGCGTTCCGCGACCTGCATTTCCGTCACTTTCATCCAGCCAACCCCGGGTCTTCTCCATCCTCTTCGCGGGCAGACTCGATTGCGAACCGCCCTCGCGGTATTTTACTTGAACGAACGTGATCTAAACGCGGTGCACCGTCCTCGAGATCACGAGCATCGCGTTCCACTGACGTTAACGAAATATAATTGTCTACGTAACCGTCTTTCTCGGTTTCTTCGTCAACTTTGTCGTCCGTCAGCGTGCATTGACTCACAAATTATCTGGCGACACAGACACGATTATCTCACTGGTTTCTTCGAGGACATTGTGTGATAACGCGTCGAACTCGACGCGAGAGGAAGACGAATTCCGTAATTAATACGATAAATCATGTATGCAACGCGGTGACTACTGGTGTATGCATATCTGCGACGACTGCGATAGTTCTATGTTACATTCGTGCGTTTTATAGGAGGCCAAGTATCTATGATCTCTTTCTTGGTTAACCCTCTGTTCTTGAACTTTGTTTAGCGCGTTGACTGCCAGGACATCCATGTGTGGATCAGGCTTGAATTTATATTAAAATCTATCAGTAATATTATTAGGAATTCGTTTGCTTGATTCGTTAGAAAGATTCACATTGGCGTAACTAGGATTTTTGTCAGTACTAGACTTCTTGACTTTGCTAATAATGGAAATATTACACAGTAGTGAAATTAGTTGCTAAATAGTTTTCAAATCCTGTGGCGTTTTTCAACAGAACGTTGATACTTTTCAATTAACGATTCCATGAATTTTTCTTCTTTTATTTTAGTACTCAAGACGAAGTTAATGAATGGTTCATCCGTTATAAAGGACATTGTTCTGTGGATCCATTATGAATTACGGTTTTATGTTTTTATTTAGTCGTCCTCTGGAGAAGAATAAGCGTTGTAGAACAATGAAGAGTAGAAACTGTTCCGCTGGATGCGAAAAATGTAATAATAATTACTCCAAAAATGAACTGGAACTAGAATTTTTTAATTGTATAGCGAAAAGTAAAAAGAACTGAGCTGAATTTAATCTCGTTAATTACATTAGTGTATAGCATTTTTAAAAAGGCTAATTTTGGATCGCCACGCGGTGTGCATATAGTCATATTTAAAAGAGGTCAACCTGCAATCTAAGGGACCCAGATCAGTCCTGGGGATTTTACCTACTTACGCCAATGCTTGATTACTTGGTTCCTTTCGAGTGAAATAATTTCGCACGTAAGAAATTCAAACTTGCTAGAACTTTGAGAGATCGTTGAAACTTTTAAGTAGTGAAACGTTCCTGAAATCATCCCTCTTATCTGCGAGCTAGAAACTTCTGGTTTTTTATCCAACTAGGACCACGAGGGGCGAAACATTTCTACCACGTTCCCAGAAACTCGTTTAGGTTACGTGAATGAAATCTAGCGAGTGAATTGCAAGATCAAGAAAGTTCTCATTGTCCATTGCGAATGGACTTCCAAAGGGAAGTGATGTAACTTTGTAGCTACTCGAATCATGGTTCTTTCGAAAGTAAAATGTTAAAACAAATACTGAGTTTGGGACGCTAATTGTTTCAAAATAATCGATTCTTTGCAAACAATTTATTTAAATATTTATTTTCAGGCATGTCAATGCCGTGTACAGTTATGACTGTATATTAAAATTAATTACAAAATATATTTTTATGGAAAGAATTTTTGGAAGACCCAAATTCTTTCTCTTCTTTGAAGGTTAAAACGATAACCTTCAAGAAATAATTTCTTCTGTATGATCTTTATAAAAATTAAGTAAACTCGTTTAGGACAAAAAAAGGAACATATATTTTAAAATTGGTCTTAATCGCTAATGTGACTCCGCGTCTGAACTTCCAATCAATACTGATTAAATTATCAACGTCTCCCCAAATAGTGATACTAACTACTTACTGGGAGCACAGAGCCCTTAATGCTCGTCAGCTAATGCGTTTCTTCGATGTAACGATTAACAGATTACAATTTAATTCAGTGGAAATCGTATCACTCTTATTCTCAGTGTTCATCCTATTATTTGTATCGTTCGCGACGTTCATCGGAACACTTTTCTGTCATGAAACTCGCTAACGAAACTAAAACAGTTAACACGTGCCACGGCATTTTACTCTCGAACACACAGCAAGTAGTTTTATCGCAATCGAACGACTTGAAGTCATAAGACTGTTCGGTCTTTCTGTAACGCGTTTTCTTAAATTACATCCTCCGTGTTTCATCGAACGGTACAGAATCTGGAGAGGAATCGTACGGATTCTTTTCTCGCGTATCATTCGAAAAATTCTAGCATTTTAAAGGCAGACTTTCCCCGGTGTAGCTGGTCGACCGGCGTTACCGTTTCCGATACCGCAACGCGTGTCTGTTCACTCCTATCATTGTTTCTCCTTTCAAAAGAAGATCTCACTGTTGCGTAATCCTGTCAGAATATCGTATATTTTATTCTCGTCGAAGGTGCACCACGTGCCGAAAAAACCATCGCGTCTTGAGCGCAAATGCATCGTAATAAAAAACACGAATGTTACGCGATCGTCGAGGTGAGCCACCTCGAGCGCGACTGAGCACCGAATTTAAGCCACCGTGCACCTTCCACGGTTCTAAGGGGCGCTCAATTTATATTGATAAACGCGCGTGCGTCGCGACGCCTCCTGTGCGGCAGACGCTGCGTCGCTCCGACGACGCTTCTCCAGCGTTCACCGTGACAGTCGTCGCGGACATCACTGACGAACCAATCTTGCTTCGTTCAGCTAACAAAAGCTTCGAGCATCTTTGCCCTTTGATTCTTTTCTTATCAGAAAGATATATTTATATTGTGCAACTAACCGATTATTGTTGGTGGTCACAAAATATGCCCAATTAGCAATCATCGAACATTGCAATCAATTTCTGGTGCTGCTCCGAATATGTCATTTAAATATCTCATTGACGATGACTTTATGCTAATATATCGAAATAAAAGATATTAGGTCCATACTTTTCGTACTGCAGGTACAAAATCGTTTTAATCGGATTGCTGAAATCCGTACGAGAAAAATGATATCAAACACGACTATACTTAAGTAATTTTCAATTAGAGAAATGGGAACTAGCTTTTCATTTTATCTTATTTGAAGTGATCTGAGAAATTCTTGAAAGGCTTGCATGCCTAGACAGCAATCGCAATTATTGATAAAATAATATAAGACACTCAAGTATATCATAGAAATATTATATACTTTGTTATGTTTGTATGTTATTAAATGACCAATGACCGGAATTCGTCATACAATAAATAGAGATATAATCAGTTTAAAGGTCAAGTAAACAACTAACAGTTATCTATTTACTTTGATCGATAACTATCTATGGATGTAATGAATCACGAGATAGTGGATCTTTCAAATTTTGTTTTTGGATATGATAAAAATGAGTACTATAAAAGGTTTGAAATTAAAATTCCAACAAGTTTAAAGGAAAATATGTATTTTTTTACTTAACAATCTTAGGATAAGTAAGTTTTAGAAAATTTACAGTGTGAAGAAAGTATCTGATATTTATAGAAGATTTTTCTAAAAATATATTTTATTATATTAATAACATCTGTTTAATGCCTACTTTCATTCTTTAAAGTATACTAATGGAAGTAACATATGGCTTAGATAACACGTTATTAATTACCTATTACGTAAATATTTAAATAATTGCATAAATAACTAAAAATGCAGTTATATGTTATTCAATGAATTATTTTCCTAAATCTTAAAATAGATAAAATTATATTTTGATATTGCATAAATCTTAAGATAAATTTAACTAAATAATAAATTTTGCTTACTTTCACACAGCCAAAATTATTGTAAATGGAATATTTAAATAACATCCTTTAGTTTCGTGCATGATCGTAGTTTTTTATATACCAATCAACAGTTTCTTGAATGGCTTGATTGAATGGTGTGAATTGAAAGTCTGGTAAATATTTTCGTAGCTTTGCATTGCTTGCCGTTTTTTTATATTGTCCATCAGCTGCAGAAGTATCGTATACTAACTTTCCTTTGAAATTAAAGGCCTTTGCAATTGCTTCAGCTACTTGGGATATTGTGACCTCCTGAGTCTCATCAACTATTTGTTATAAAAATGTATAATTTAATGACCAGGAATAACTTTGTATATATTAATTATATCTGCATATTTTTTATATACCTGATAATATAATTGGTTCCACAGAATTATACTCTCTTAACACCCATATTATTAACTTAGCTAAGTCCAAACTATAAATGAATTGTCGTAAAGGCTTTCCAGAACCTAAAATAGTAAATACTTTATCTTCTGTGTTTCCTGGAAAAACAAAAAGATATATATGAAAACATGTATCAAGTCTAAACAATCATATAAAATAATGAAAAACTTTTAAGAATTCAAAAGAAATATTTTATACCATCTTTGATCAGATCATAAAGTCTTCGCATTAAACCTGGTATAACATGACTGGCTTCGGGATGAAAATTATCATTTGGTCCAAATACATTACAAGGAATAATACTTGTGTAAAGTCTACCATGTTGTTCATAGTAACCTCTATTTTGTATATCTATAAGACGTTTAGCATAACTGTAGCCATAGTTTGATGGATGAGGTGGTCCATTATGAACCTGAAAAAATAAACAAGCAAGATAATAATATAAGGAAATATTGAAGAAAACTTTAAATGATTATTATAACATTACCATGGATTCATCAATAGGATATGTTGTTTTATCAGGAAATATACAAGTTGACAAGCATGAAATAACTTTGACAACATCATTTTCATGAGCAGTTTGTAATACATTATCATTCATATGAATATTTTTACGCTAAAATTGTACAACATCTATTTTGGTTAATTTTATAATAATATAATAACATACCTTAAATTAATATTAGTTACCAAAAAATCCAGATTATGCTTCATGTTATGAAACAAACCACCAACCATAGCAGCCAAATGAATAACATGCGTAGGCTTGTGCTTCTCAAATAATTTTTTTGTACTTTCTTTATCACTGAAAATGTAAACACCTTGTTTAATTTGATCATAACATTAATCTGTTAACCATTAACAGCAAAATAACAAATTACCATAAATCTGCATCTTTAGAACCTACAAATATCCACCTTTCATTTTCATTTTCATTCTTTTCAATAATATTTTGAATAGCTTTACCAACCAATCCTGTCCCACCAGTTACTAGTACAACCTTTTTATCTGCAGACATGCTTCATAAAATCTAAATAAAAATACAAATTTGTGATGTGCAAAAATTCTTATCATACGGTTAACCTAATTCATTGTAAGATACAAATATTAGCATATTTTTGATCTTATGATGTTATTTCTTAAGTTTTCAAATACATTTTAACCAAATTTCTACGAAGCTCAAGTAAACAACAAATACAAAAAACTTACATAAATATTAGAAAACTATATTGTACAGATTCAATTTTTCTGCCAGCTGTACCACTGACTAAAATTCAAACAACACCATCTAGTGATAGCTACAGACGATATTGTACCGATATTGTCGATATTTCGTATATCGATTCAGTCCAAACTTCAGTATCAAAGTTTGAACAAAATTTGAAGCGTTATGCACACATGAAGTATCATACACTTTATATTCTGTTACGTGGGAGAATATAATAATTAATTGCGATATGTCACAAATGTGATGCTCTTCTACACACGTGTTTCTGTTTCGTACTCATATACACAGTGAAAAAAATATACGAACAACGAGAACCAATGATATAATAAATATACACGACGGAAGAAATATTGTATCCAGGTTTTTTAATATAATCATAGAATATATAAATATTGAACATAAAGTATTTCACCTAAGAATGGAATTTTCTGCAATCCGCAAGAATTGGAAATCATGAAATTTTTTGTACGCTGAATACGGTCATTTCGTACCACTGTCGCCATGAAAGCGCATGCGTATTGCCGTAGATTATAAAGTACTCAGAGCGGAAAGTGTAAATATCCGCAAAAGGAATTCTTGCCATTTAGCTACTACATTCTCTTGCAAAACAGATTACAAGGGATTGCATCATTATTGTATGATACTGTAAGATTCATTCAAATAATAAAAAATAAATTTCTACGTATCATTTTATGCAAGAATCATTATTGTTAATATTGTACACAGCAACAGACATTCTCGTGACACGCATAAGTAACCAACGCAGTTTATTTAATTTAAGCTTATCGTGTTTACTTATTCTTAGCGGATTTACTTCTCTGCGGTTTCTTCTTATCATGGCCATGTTTCGCATCAACTGTTATAATAGTTTTAACATCGGCTATATTTTGATTTAACATTTTTAATTCTTGCAGAGCTCGTTTAGCCAGTTTCCCTTCAGGCGTGTCCATTGGTTCTAGAAGAAGCATCGTCAAGGATTTCTTCAGAAGACTACCGGCTTCTTCAAGGCGCGAAGCCAGTTCCGTTGAAGAAATTTCTCGAGCAGAATACGCACGATTTGCCAGCAACACTAATGGTAAGTGCATTTCATACAACATTATTCCTGAAAACATTCATTTATATTTATAAACTAATCGTATTATTTTTAACTAAATTTTAAGGAGACAAATTTTAAATTCTTCAGGCTACGTATTTTAAGTGCTGTAAAATGGTGACATCAATCCCGCAATATCACGTATTTGGACATTGAACATTGTTATCAATATCCATAGCGATATTGCAAGTAATTTTGATAGCTATTAAAATTTACCTTTCAATCGAGATATCCCTGGTTCGACTATTTCCAATACGTTGTACATTTCTCTACACGCATCCAACATTCGTTGCATAATTTTTTTCGGAGGATTTGGCGTAGTCACTTCTTTCCTATAAGCGGCTAATAATTTCTGCTTCAAGGACAGCATCAAGTAATGATTTGGATGAAAGGATCCCAATAATTTTTTCGTTAAAGTTTCCATCCCCTGTAAACGATTATCGATGGAATATAATTTTTATAGCGTTGAAAAGTATTGGCATAAATTTTTAAACTGCGAAGCAAGTACAAACTTTGATATCGTAATCATCCATATCATCAATCAATGTTTTCGTAATGTTCACGGTAGCTCTTATAAGACGACCACTGATGCAACTTCTGCATTTATCACATTGCCATTTTGTACTTTTTTCGTACGCGTATATTGTCAAAGGAGTTCGAATTCCCATGTAACCTTTTCTACATCGTGGACACAAAATGCTACTCATATACGATCCCATTTCATAAGGATCGCTACATAATGAACATTCACATTCGAAATACTTTCCTCCTCGCAGGTGTTCTCTTCTACCTAATGTTCCCTGATAACGAAATAGAAATAGTTAATGATCATAAATAAATTTAAATTTAATTTCATGCACGGTTTTCTGAAATTATTCATTTTGGTTAGCAACAAGTACCGATATTTAAAAGTTTGATGAAATAATAGAGCATTGTAATAAGTAATTATGGAAAATTCATGTACCAAAAGAGACGATGTATAATTAAAAAGAATTGCTTCGCCTTCTTTAATCGGTATACTAGCGTATACAGTCAGTTGAAAATGATCATCTACTGTGAGATGAGTATTCCCTCTGCAATCGTGAGCCATGAAGGAGGCTTCCACGTATAAACCTCGTAAAAGAAGCCCATCTAGACCTCCCGGAGATCTCAGCTCAAAAGTATTCACATCCAGAATTCCGCACAGCTGTTGCAGATATTCCGGGATAGATGTATCATCTTCAGGAATCAAGTGCAACGCTTTCATTACCTATTTAAATAAACGCTTTTGGTATCAAAAATTAACAAATTTATTCTTCATTTTTTACTGACATTTATGACATTCGTTTCTCTATCTCTCCATACGGATGTGTTCCTTCTTTCTTCCATATGTGCTTCCATTGATTCGATTCGTTTCGATAATTCTGGATCTGTTTGTTTCACTAGCCACAATCTCAGAGGTAACAATATACCAATGAGGGTCTCTATGTTATCCGCCGATAGATTCTCATTAGTTTTAAATATTTCACATTCGTAGGATGTGTGATGTTTCGGTTGTTCCTAAATTTTTGAATTTTAATTAATAATCTTGGATTTTGTGCGCATACTTTCATTTTTAATATTTTTTTTTATTAAATATCATCTTTACTGAATCAAGAGCACTTCTACGGTACATTTTATAAGATACATCTTAGCGCGCTATATCACCACGTATCATATTGTCATGTGCTATATCAACACGTGCCGTATCGCTACGTCCTAAATCGTCACGCACTGTATCGCCACGCGTTATATTGCCACGCGCCATATTGTCACGTGCCGTATAGTCACGTAATACACCCCGCGTGCTACATCATAACAAATTTTTGTAACCCGTTCCAATATATTGACAATTTCACCTGCCCGCTCTTAAATATAACGAGTGTCTACTCTAATACATATGTTTTCAATGTTTTCTGACTAATACGAACCCCCCCTTCTAGTCTTTCCGCGCTAATCATCGTATTGATTAGTAGAATGGACCTTGATATCCAAGTAAAGATAATTAACAAGTGTAATGCTCGACAATGTTGAATTAGAACTCTGTTAGATTAGAAATTGCAACCACAAAGTTTGTGGTAAAGCCACAATTTATTTTTAAATTTTATTACCTGGCAAGCAGTGCCACATAAAGGTGCAATATTGCATTTGGAACAAACATATTGCGTGCCTTTCTTGAGCTTAGGCAATAAACGTAAACACGCGAAACACAGGTAATCATTGCTGGATGTTATTGGTCCAACCGCGATCGGTTTTTCCCGAAGTATTACTTCGCCTGCTTGTAAATTTTTTGCTGCCTGCAAGTATCTTTGGAAATGTGATAAGATACGCGATGTATATCGGAAATGTAATGCTTTATCTAAAAAATCGTTACTTTAACGTCCATATCATTGTAAGTCACAGCTCTTATAATCTTACACATCTTTCTATCAAACAGATTATAGACAAAATTAAGTACTGGAACTTTCTATGGATACAATGTATGTTGCAACTTAATTCAAAATCGACAGATAATATAAAGATAAATAAAGTAAAAGATATTCACATGAAAGGTTACTGGAATCTTTTGACAATTTGTTCAAACTGTATAACACTATAATGTTTTAAATACATTCATTTACATAATACGAAAAATATAAAGTTAACACATTTATTCGTGCAATATATATGTTGTATTCAATGTTTGTGATTTAATGTTTGTACCTGCCGAATTTCTCTGAACAAGCAACTTTGTACTTTAGCGTGGGAGTCGCACTATTTTTCCGTTTCTCCTCCATGATCATATCTAACTGGAGCTTCTCTTCCGTTGGATTGTCGAATAAAATAAAATTACAATTAACTAAAGATATTTAGATATTCGTGGGAGCCTCGCTGTATCGTATATTTCATACGATTTGTAACTGACACCGAAATACAGGAAGTTGTAGCGGGAGTCTCTCTTTGGTACTCTCGATACGCTGTATTATTAGAAGTCAGTGTGGCGCGTGCTTGCAGAGCGCTCGCGACGAAACAATGCGTGGGCACCGTATTAGAAAATGTTACTTTAACTATTTCACCACTACGCATTTCGCGAGACTCTGTGACTTCTGCAATTTAATGTACTATTTCATGCCTAATTGAGATTATTAATAGATTCGCGTACATCACCAGTCAAAAGTTTGCACACATTTGTCGGTGCAACCGGGATCTTTGTTGGGGTGTGCTAGGGTCCCTAGTTCTGCCAGTAGTATCAAGTGTGAATTAGAGAACTCAGGAATTTGTAAATTTAGAAATTTGAAATTTGCAAGTTCGAAAATTTGAAATGTTAAGAATTTAAAAAACTAAGTTTGAGAATGTGGAAGATTTTCGACATAATTCGGTAAAAATAAATAACAGTCTTTGTAACAAAACGTGACCAGTTATTTATTTATATACATTTATTACATACATACAATTTTACATTCGCGTATTAAATAAATACTTTTATACAAATATGTAATTAGAGAAATTATTTATAAATTATTGATCGACTCCTCAAGTTGAGCTAACGACTCTTTTGCGACTATACCTATTTCGCCTTCGGGCGTATCCGGCGGTTCCAAACATAAGATCGTCGCTGCTTCTTTTAAAATGTTCGAAGCTTCTATCATTTTCGATTTTAATGCAGCTTCGTCGATTACTCCGGCGTTCCATAGCGTTTTCGCGACAAACAACAATGGTGCATGAAGCTCGTATAATGTCATTCCTAAAACAAAATCATTATGTTTTATTGTGTAATATACTTTTACTTTTATCTTATTATTACATAGCAGTCTGTGCATAGTAACATTAGAGGATCAACTTTGAAAGTTGATCCACTTTTAAAATTAAATACTTTTCCTACTCAAAAGTATTGTTTATTATTCTTTAATATACAGAATACACTTTGAGTACCACATCATTTACATTTGAAAATTAATTAAAAGTAAAGTTACTAACTGATTTACCATGATTTTAAAGTGTCATTCAAACTGTTAACAATATACCATACGTGGTACTCATGTATTAAAAATCAATATAATGTATATTCTGTATATTATATACACAAGCCGTGATCGTTAAGGGTTAACAAAAAATTAATACAGGCAATAAATAATAATTGCACCTCTTATACGAGAATAACCAGGCTCAATGACGTCCAACACTTGCAGTAGGAACCTGCACATATCGATTTTGTGTTCTAATACGACGTCCGGCAAATCGTCCAGGAGATATTCATCGACACGACCATACATTTGCGTTAATGAGTGTCTGAAAAAGTGAAAGCAGAAATCATTTTACATCTCATGACATTTGTACTGTAAACTCATCAAAAGATAATTGAAGAACCAAAACATTTAGTTAGGATGCTTAAAGCAAGAAAAACAGACTGGTCCATCTTGTGGCAAGATGAAGAATGAAGAATTCTTAATGTCCATCTTGTGACGAGTGTTCTTGCCTAAGGATAGAACATATTAAGAATAAAATCAAATTTACCTTAACATAGTAAGAAAAGCGTGTCGAGGATGCAAAACAGAGCGATATTTCTTCATCACAGTTTCTCTTTCTTGAATAGCATCAGCTCCATCAGCACCGCTTATTTGTTCCACAGCATCAACTTCCGCCTGTATAATTTTCAATACTTTTCGGACCGCTGGTCCTGATGTTGAAAATTCGCAATGAGTACATTTCCATGAACTGTCTGGATCTGCAAAGCATTTAATTCATTAAATTGTCAAAATTGTTTAAATATAAGCGTTGTCTTTTTTAGAATTGAATCACTCATGAGAATTTGCGGTGTCCTCGTTCTGTACATAGTTACGCCAATGACTGTAGATGTGACGGTTATGCGTCTGTCGCGAAATAATTACCTAAAGAATCTAGAGACAAAACAATTCCATTGTCGCATTTGTTACATTTCAATGAAGACATGTGTGTGCCAAGTTCAGTAGGATCCGAGCACCTTGCACAAGCACATGCAAAATGTTTTCCCTCGAGAAGATGTTCTCTTCTGAGCATCGTCGGATATAACGAATGAGTGTAACTTCCATAAAGTTCACCGCTTGGTGGAACATGCACTGTCGTACGCAATCGTATTCTGCAAAAGAAATCAAATCATTTTATTATTGTACTTTTTTACATAAATTCTGTCTTTCTTAACTAAACTAGTTCTACCATTCGAATTTCCAATTTTCTTCGTGTCAACCATTTTGTTTCCATTTTCCGAAATATTTCAAAATATCCAACGTTTGCAAACGCTTACGGAATATTACACTACTAAATATTAATGAAATATTAACACAATGGAATATTACTGTTAATGAGAGTAACAAAAGTATTGTACCTGTAATCTGTAGGTGAAATGCTATGACACGTATTCGAGACACATGAATGATTCATTAGAGCAACTGTCGGATATAGTGCTCTCGCGCCGTAGCCTCTCGATGTTCGAACTTCGAAGGTGTTGATTTCCAAAATCCCACAAGCCGTTTGAATAAGTTCCTCCGAAAATCTGTAGCAAGTGGTATAACGCATTACGTAAATAACTATTAATATCATCCAAAAATAATATCTTTGGATTACGTCAAATATCAATACCTGTCGAGTTTAAGTTGATTCCTCAAATATTCCACTACATTCACCTGATCCGATTTCCAGTGTGCTTTCTGACTTCTTATTTTATTATGCGCCTCCATGTTCTTTACTTCGTTGTTCCATCTTTCGGGATTCTTTTCTGACTCTAAGAGCAGTCTTAACGGTGTTATGCACTCTAATTGTGGGACACCGTTCTCGTTCGCTTCTTCTAGAGCCGCTTGCACGTTGAACTTTTCGTTTGCTTGCACAAATATCTGTAAACAATTAATGCAGTTAGTAGGATTTCGGATATGATGATCACTAGCGGGGCGAATGAGCAGATCACTAGATCATTTGATGTTTTGATCACTAAATCATCGGATCATTAGGTTATTGGAACATTAGGTCACTGGATCACTGGATCATTGAATCAGCGGATTACCAAATCAGTAACTCATTGAATCACTAAAACACTAGATCACTAGACATCTGGATCCCTACATCCCTAGATCCGTGGATCTGTAAATTGCGATATCTCCATCTCGATTCCATGGATCCGGAGATCTCTAAATCGTAGCATCTCTATTTCGATTTCTTAGGTCCCTAAAACCCTAGATCTTCACATCCCTACATCACCTCTAAATTCCCACGTACCTAGATCTCCACATACTTGGATCTCCACAATCCTAGATCCCCATATGCCTAAATCCCCACATCCCTAAATGTTCCTAGAGCCCATTATGCAAGCTTTCTAATCATTATAGTACACATTAAAATATCAAAATATACACGGAAGCGGAGGTGTTAAAAGTAGAAAGTTGTGGTGAATAGGTATTAAAATATGCTAATTGCTTTTTCATTTCGCACCTGGCACTCGTAATCTTTATGTTGCGGTTGATTTTCACATTCAGTAGAGCAAACAGGCCATCCGCATCTTGAGCAAAGCGGTTTTTCGGTTAGTGACGGAGGCCATGGAGCGTAGCACGAAAGACACAACGGATATGTGAATGCCTTCGGTCCGACGACGAAGGGCATTTCGGTGACGATTTCTTCGCCCGGTTGCAAGTCTTTATTAGCTACCATGAATCTGAAAAATGGATTGACGTTAATAAAGTATTTAGAATCCAATAGCTTCTAAGGGCAAAGATTTTGCTGTATCTTTTATAGTAATATATCTTTCTTCTTTTTTGTAGTGTCTACAGTGAAGTCTTCTTATATAGTCTTAAATTGAGATGGACAAATGAATATATTAATTTTTACTTACCTTCCTACTTTATCATTTTTAAGAATTTTATACTTCTCCGTACTCTTCACTTCCTGGTTTGTGGTAGCGCCCTAGAAAAAGTTATTATAAATAAAATTTAAGTATTCGTTTATTTTTAGATGAATTGATTCTATACGTTTTTACTTATTGTATACATATCTTCTTGATACCTTCTTTACGCAATAAATACGATATGAAAGACAATACCGTTCTAAATTTTTTGTACCTATACAGATACGCGGATAAATCAATTTAGTGTGTCGATTTCATAATAACTATACGTATATTTCCTGTTTTGAATTACGCTCTTTCTATATCTTTTTTCGTCGACGTATAACTAACGTTAGGTAAAATCTCTGTTGTTTATTATCGATAAATGGTTTTATATTAAAATCGAAATCAATGTAAGTCGACTAAATGATAACAATGGATTAGAACGTCGTTTTGTATTTTCTCACGATAAATGAGTGATGCAGAAGTATTAAATACTTTAAATAAATAACGCTGTTTTGCCTCGTATGACAGGTAAATATTGATTTTATTCATAACCTGAATGAAAACAACTTTTACATTTTAATTTTCAAAGGAAATTCTTTTGGTTGTGTGTATCAAACATTGAAGATATGAGCCACATATATTCTTCGCATTAAAAAATTTAAAAAGATGGACGAAACTGAAATTAAGCGAATTTTTGAATATATGACAAAGTTAAGAATACTGTTAAAACTTTTCCCGCTTTAAAAACAGATTCCTAATTGTACAGTAATTTACTATATAATCACATTATTTGTGATTAAAAATAATCACATTATTTGTAAACTTTAAAAACGATATTACTTGCGAAATATGTGATAATAATAAAGAAATAAAAAGAAAAATTATTTCGATAAATTAAATTGGTTTAATTAATCAAAACTTGAAACGTACCGAGCTCTGTTGAGACATGATCAATGAATGTTTAATCTGTGTTAATAATCGGTTTCCGATGCGTGCTTTTTACACTCGAATAAAATTCCACGAACCACGAACGTGAAAAGATACAAATGCACTGAATATTGAATCTGTACGGTCCTTTATATATAACCAATTGTCTTATTAAAAATATACTATGCACAAACACTGCCAAAGCAATGATCTGAATCGTCTTTCGCGAAGAGTCTCGACTGTGCGTTGAAAATATAGAAGTCTTCGCATTGAGCTAGCCGGTCTATTTTAAGATCTCGAAATGTGTAGAAACGTCCAAGCATTTCGATTAGTTCGCAGGATAATCGAAAAATAAAAGTATTTTTTATGTTTTCTCAGATTTATGCGCAGTACTTTCATTTTCCAATGTCTTCACAAATTTATGAGCATTCATGTCATTCTATTTCGCAAAAGAGTTAATTCGTGATAAATATTTTACGAATAATTCAAAAATACGAAAATTAACTAGTAAACAAAATTGCAATTGCTCTCAAGTCTGGCTTTCATTTGGAATATCAATTGAAATAACATTCGAATTATAGCTGACTAATTACAATATACATACATTGTTTATAATCTGTATAGGACATGAATGTCTAAAATAATTGTTTGTAAACAATTATTCTTCGCATATTAATTACAAAATAAATACGTTGTATTTACGTTTAAAAGATTTGTATATAATGTTCTATTACGAAACTCCATTGATGTCCATAAACAAATGCAAGAAAAATGTAAAATGATTTTCAAAATTCTTTTCTATTTATTATTTATAATGCATTTACCTAAACTGCAAATATTGTAAACGTGTTCGTTGATAAATAATTGTCAAGCGAGAAGTATTTTTTTCGGTATTTTTATCTTCTTTTTTAACGTTCAATAAATTAGGCAAACAGGATAAGTGCAAAACTCAAGTCTTCGAGGGTAACATTCGAGGTTACGTAACATCCAGAAAGTAGATCAATACAAAAATTAAATAACCGATCGTATCTCGTTTAGTACAAAACTAAGATTTGTTATGAAATATAATATAATTTTTTTTTGCTTCAGTATCAAGATTTTCACATAAAAATAGATTTAATTTTTTTTTTTTTGCGTTCTATCGTGCGCGTGCGCAGGCACAGTTGCGCGCAGGTTCCATTTTTCTCTCCCGGTTAGCATATCGTCTCGAGTACGCAATTATAAGACGAAGTCACGTAGTTTTCTTCACTCGTGTCTTGTAACATAAAATAGTAAGTATTAATGAATTGCATTACGTACACGCATTGGATATAAGTTAAAATCTTCGTTCGCGCGTGTATAGCACGATATTTATAAGAAAAATTTAATTTTTTGCGATGCCGGCATGACTTACTGATAATGTCGGCTGTCGCCTAACGGTGTTATATACTATTATTTCTGTTAATTTTGTTTTAAATGGATTTGAACGTCTTATTAGTACTACGCGATTTAAGTAGTAATGATTTTTGTTGGAAAAGGATTATTTCATTTGTCACGACATGAAATTTATAGTGAGGAAATTGGAAATCACTGATTTACGCCTTATGTAATACCTAGGCAGGTCAATACCACTCCATTTTTTTTCAATGTTATGTTAAATTAACGATATATTATTATTTAACTCATTCTGTACTTTTTATTCGTGTAATTATGTTAATAATTTTTATAATTATATATTGTGTAACAAGTTTTCCTAACTAATTTATAATTAAACAGTTCATATTCATTTTTTTTGTTAACTATATTAAACATTATGAATTGTATGAATACTATTTTATAACAGTGTTACTGAACAACATATTAGAATTTTTTTATTAATTCAGTCATACTTGTAATTTGTTGTGTTATCAAATAATTGTATAATTTACTAACAATTTATGATTGAAATATTCTTTGTGCAGATTATAACATAATTTTATACTGTTTAGCCATCTAATATTTTTGAGTTAAAGATTACTATTTTTAGAATACTTTAGTACTGTTCCTAGTCAAATTTGTAATTATAGAATAATATGTTAGGTTGCTCATTTGTTGCAACAATGATATTTTTTGAGTTACCATTATAATTCTAGTTTATACATTTTACTGATAAAGTTCTGAAAGTTAGCTTTAAAAGCTGGCATGTGATGACAATTACATTTACATAATGTCCTTGCAAGATCATAAAGCTTCAAAATATTTAAGCTTATTTTTTTTCAAAATCATGATTTTCAAGTTGTCACTATTGCAGCAAATCATTGGTGTTTGTTCATTTTCCGACAAATGTACATTAAATATTTGTAATAAAATGTACGTATGATTGTGACAAGTTAATAGTGAAGTTCATGGATGTATTTGATATCTTTTTGTAGATCATGGCCCCACCATCATACACTGAATTAGGCAAAAATGCTCGCGATTTATTTACCGATGGATATCACTTTGGTCTTATTAAGTTAGATATAAAATCAAAGACCAAATCTGGTGTAGAATTTGGTACTGGTGGGGTGTCTAATCAGGATAGTGGAAAAGTATTTGGTACTTTGGAAACCAAGTACAAAATTGATGATTATGGGTTAAAATTTAGTGAAAAATGGAACACAGATAATACACTTGCTACTGATGTTACTTTTGCTGACAAATTGCTCAAAGGTCTTACCCTTGGCTATGGCTGCACTTTCTCCCCACAAACAGGGTAAAATATTACATCATTTAATCTTATCATTGTTAGATCATCTTATAGCTTATAACAAAAATTATAATCTTTCTTTTTGCAACTGTAGGACCAAGACTGGAAAGTTAAAGACAGCTTACAAACAAGATAATGTATCAGCAAATGCTGATTTTGATCTTAGTTTGTCTGCGGGTCCTCTTGTAAATGCATCAACTGTTGTAGGATATCAAGGTGAGTTAAAGATATGCATTATTGCTTCATAATAATTTTTTACTACCATATAGTTATATCATATACCTTAATTTAAGCTATACTCTATAATTATTAACACTTTTATTTATTTCTAGTATTAAAATTGAGAAACATTAGATACATTTATTGTTTAAATTTTTAATCATTTTCGTACATTTGTTTCCGTGTGATTGATTCCTTGTAATTCCAATCAAGCCTCCTCCTTTTTCATTCTCAATATCCAAGATATGCCAGAAGAAAAGTGTAAGGCTATGATATAATAAAACTAAATGAGTTAACTTATTGTAGGTTTTAAAATGATTTAATTACATTTTAGGATGGCTGGCTGGTTACCAGGCCTGTTTTGATACACAAAATAATAAACTCACAAAGAATAACTTTGCACTGGGATACATTGCCTCTGATTTCACTCTCCATGCTGCAGTGTATGTTTAAATAATATTATAAAAACTTCTAAGTGTAATAACAAATTTTGTTAAATTCTTTTCATGCTTTCTATTAATTTCTTTTTATAGAAACAATGGCTGTGACTTTAGTGGCCTCATTTATCATAAGGTAAAACCAGAACTGGAAGGAGCAATTAATCTTGAATGGAATTCAAGTAATAATGTTACACAATTTGGAATTGCTACCAAATACAAACTTGATTCAGATGCATCTGTCAGAGCTAAAGTCAATTCTAATCTTCAAGTAGGTTTGGGATATCAACAAAAGTTACGTGATGGTAAGTAAAATTAAATTTGTCAAAATAACATTTTCTAATCAATGTAAACTGTCCTTTATTTGATTAAAATTTGTTAATATTTTTAGGTATAACTTTGACACTATCTACAAATATTGATGGAAAGAACTTTGGTTCTGGTGGACACAAGGTTGGTCTTGCATTAGATCTTGAGGCTTAAATCTGATTGATCACAGACACAAAAGGACTTGACTCACTGAAAGGTCATTTCATGACCTTTGTGTCATAAAAGCAGCATCACAGTACATGCTTCAGTTAAAATATTGCCTATAAAATATAGATAGGTTTATCCCAAAATAGATGCCACGAAATATCATGCATCATTTAAAAATAGTTAAAGGAGCATTAGTTTAAAATATACACAATTATGAGTATAAATATGGTATAGTAACAATACCTTCTCATAAACAGTGCGATTCATAACTCCTTAAATGAAACAAAAGTGTACCATCCTTTCCTCCATAATTCGTTTACGTTTAATATGGTGCAGCCATACTAATTCCTGTGGAAAGTTTCCAATCTAATGATATGAAAGATTGCTCTAAACTTAAAAACAAAAAATACAGACATAGACAGTGTTGATTACAAATACTGGTGAAGTTAAATTAGAAATAAAATGTGTTTAAATTTTCTGGAAGTATATTTTTTAAGTAATAAATGTTATCAAGTTGTGAAATAATTGTAAACTTTGCGGTCAGTTAAAATAAGAATGCACAGCATGCTGCACATATGTTTTTACAGCTGCATATTTAGTGTTAAACTGAATTTCTTCGTGTAAAAATATCTGCACCTAATATGATAGTAAATAAACAGCTAAATACAGGGACTTCAGATTAAATAATGTTAAATATCAAGCATATTTAACTTTCATTTTCAAAGTGAAATCAACATTCATTCCTGCCTACATAATTAATGTAAACATTACTGCCAGTGTGAAATACATGTTTTGTTAGAAGGTAAAATTCCAGTAACTTAAAGCTTAACATCTCACAATATTTGACTTTTTAAAATACTATATTACAATAAATATGTTTAGTTACAAATAATCTCACAAACTTTTATGTGGCAAGTTTGTACTGGATAAGAGGTTTGTACTCATAAAATTTTATTTTCTTATATATCAATATTATTTAAATATTGAGCAACATCTGAATTAAGCTTTGATTAGTTCTTAAAATACAAATAAATTCTTTGTGCAATGTGAATGCTTTATTGATGAAAGTATTATTCTTTTAGGTAGAATATTTTACGTAAATTTTATGACAGTCATAGGTAAATGTTGAACAAACATTTTAAGCGTATTTCGTTAATAAAATTTATTTATAGTTTTATATTTACTTTAATTTTTAGTTTTCATAAATAATAAACTAACTACAGTGATAAAACCTAAATTGTGTAATGTTTTGCAAATTTGCTTAATGTTTATGATTGTATTCATCAAAAATCAAAATTTATTTATTGATCATATAAAAATTGACTTCATGCATATTAACATAAAAAATTAACAGGCATGTTGAATTGTGTGTACGTTTGTTAAATGTACAAGCTTTTCTGTAGAGTTAAATTATAATAACAATCCTTATTGCCTCTAAATTTTTATTGGTGTATGTAACAAATATTTGTCCGACGTCCCGTGTGAGTGTTAAATTAACGTTTAGAAAGTTTGTATTAATCCACCATTTGATTTTCCGTCGCTTTTGCAATCCACTCTGGTTCAGTTTGAGCAATTTTTTCTATTATTTGGTTTACTTGATAACATAAAGATTGTATTTGCTTATCCCACGTTGGTAAAGTTTCACGTGCTGTATAAAAAATAAATCTTTGATAAAAAAATGCTTTTGTCAAGAATACAGAATCCGTTTATTCGTGTCTTTCTCAACTTACTTTCAAAATGTACAATAGAATCTATTTGGTCAATGTATCCATTCATTCTGCCTTCTGTAATCATCTGGCTAGCAATTTTTTCAGCCTTTGTTGGTGGAATTTCTAATAAAGCACCCAACTCTTCAAAAGTTATATTATTATATAATTTGCTAGCAGATAATAAATTATGTTCTATAACGGCACGATCAAGAATAGTTGAGCCCAATCCATCGATTGTACATGCTTTTTGATGAGGTTGTAATAAGGCTTCAAATTCTTGTAATTCGGAGCGTCGAATGATACGATCCAAATACATCTTTTCAAGAATTGAATAAGCTGGAAGTTGTTGGCAGCGTTCATCTTTAAATAATGTAGCTAACATACGACTTCTTTGTTGTCCTGATATTGATATTACATTTATAAATTTATGCTCGACAAATTAAACAAACAAAGTAATTCTAAATACTTACCTGCAGAAGCTAGTACTGTACAAATTAAAGCATTCCTAAGCGCAGTCATACGTTCATCCTCATGTATAATGGATCTATATGATAATTCATTGTATCTTTGAGCTGCCTCTATAAACTTTCTCCTATAATCTAATACGCGAGCATAACAAACTTTGTAATAAATTTGTAACTGTTCATTTTTTGATTCAGCCTAAAAACAGATAATAAAATATTATGATTATACATGTACATATTTATAAGTGTCATGTATTGTAATTGAAAATTAAAAAACTTAAATATACACACTTGTAAAAGAGATGCCCTATTGATGAATGCTTCAGCTTGTACAGGATCATCATCTTCTAAGTACAATCGTGCAATTTTAAGATAAGTTTCAAGTTTGTAGTCAACTGTATATTGCCTACAAGTAAACAGTATGATTATAACATAATTTCACTGAACTTAACAGTATGTAATATAAACTAGTTTTATATTCACTTTTGTCCAGTTTCTAATGGTATACCAACTAAAACATTAGCTGCCTCTCTCCAATTTTGATTCCGTTCATAAATATCTGCTAAATGTTGTCTTATACTAGCAACTTGCTCTTCAAATGAAATTACTCGTGGTTGAATCTACAAATTAACAAATAAATACTAATTATATTATCACTTGCATATGGTTTTAAAGCATACGTTTATATTAATAAGAAAAAACAGCTCTTACTTTATCTAATGTATAATGTGAAACTGCTTTTGATATCTCATCAGGCAAAAACAATAAACGATTGCTAACATCCGTAAGAACCTGTCTTGAGATCACTAAACTTACATATTCGTGTACAACTGTAAAATCAAATGATTTAGTCTTATGTAAGTATTACAATATTGTAAGTATTTAACAAATATGGTTTAGGTATAAAAATATTGTCTAAGTATCAATCTTAAAAATATATTTAATTCAATGAATTATTGTACACACAGAACTAAACACATGACATACAGTAGTTTGATATGTATTATACGTATACGTACGTTTATAAATTATTATTGACGTATTAATTCTTAAAGGATATACTTATAAGTATATTAAGAAAAGAGGATATATTCAAAGAAAATGTGACATACTTGCTTCAATGAATATCTTCAAAGCATCAACCATTTCTTCATTGGACAATAATAGTATCGAATCCAACACCGCTCGATACCTGTAAGTATCACTAATTATATCAAATATTCCGAAACTATGTTTACAATTTTATTTTACAGGCTTACTTTTCTGCTTGATCTTTATGAGAACCACCGGAACATGCTACATTCATGAGCTGTTGACGTACAAAAGTCGCCGCCGTCACCACCATCTTTTCTACATAAATGACCAAAAATGACTTTTGCTTCTATCACGATCATAAACTATGAGAATTAATCACTAGGAATTATATTATAGAACTATGCTGGTGAAAAACGATATAATTATCTATACAGTGTCGTAAAAATGAAAACTGAGATTACAAAATTGATTTTGAAATATAAAATTTCTTTTACTCTTATATAAATTTATATTTCTGAAAATGAACAATACTTGTGCAATAATAACTTTCGTGACATGCAGTCTTTTTAATATTGCATGCTCAATTTTGTACTTCCATCGATCGTATATATTTAAGGATATATAATTGTTGAGATTATTAATATTAATGAACGAAATTTCCCCGCCATGAGAGAATGTACTTCCTAAATAACACATTTCTGTTCATTCCGCGCATCTTGACTTTGATTGGTTTAAATACGTTCCATAATCAAGAGTAACATTGACCATATACATCCAGTAATCTTTTATTTATTATGCATTCCTTCTTATTAAACAAATTTTGCAATTACGATAGTTGGAGATTCAGAAACCTAATAGTGCAGAAATGACATAATCTGGAAATTCGAGAATTTGGACGTTCGAAAGTTTAAGAAGTTTAAAATTTTGGAACTTGAGAATTTGAAAACTATATTTTAGTTCACCGTGTATATGATAACTAAATAAAAAGCAGACTCTTTGAACTTAGCCAAGATGCGCAAACGAACTACGTTTTCTCAGGACAAAAACTGTACATAAAAATGTGTAATCAAAGGTGGCGCTTTGTAAAGTATTACTGACATTGGTTGTCAAACTTTATATAAATAACTTATGACTAAATAGCAAAATAACGAATACAATGATTAGTATTCTACAATTTAAAAAGCAAATGAAGTGTTTCAAACATACAAATGAAAAGAGAATAATGTATTACTACTTCATATTCTAAAAAAGAGGTATTCATTTCATTTTCATATAAATGTAATGTACAGATTTATTATATGTTTATCCAAAAAATCACATATTTAAAGTATAAATACGTGACAGTCAAAATGTAATACTTTTATGATATTGATTAAAGAATTCATTTCCATTGATATTTACGACGGAAATAATTTAAATTCGATCTAATTTTAAATCTCTTGTACTGAAATATCTATAATATTTCAAACTGCACTTTCAACTATCCTTTTGTCATTCTATTCTTATTGAACACTTTTTAACATTTTAATATTACTCGTTATATTTGAATTTCAAATTTATTAATTAATAATTAAGACATTTTTTACTTCTAAATTAGCCTGATATAATTATACATTTTTTTAAATATTTACGACGAGTATAATATATAATATTTAATAGTTTAATATTTGTGTGCCTTCTTCTATTATTTTGTAGTTTAATGATAAAAATTTTCCATAAAAAGGTATCAACTATTTCGATATTCTTACTTAATTACATTATTAAGTGTCGAATGTTTTCGTGCTAATATAGAATTATACATCTATTTTGCAAATACATAATTCATTTACCACACCATTTTTACTGAAATATGCAATATTATATGCGTAAAAGATAGAATTTTTCTTTTTCTTTCCAGAAACAAAATTTAATCAATAAAATTAAGTTAAAGTAGTACGAAACTTTCAGCTAAATGTCTTGAATTTAAAATCCACAAGTTTTCAGAATACTTGTTTTTTTACTGGATTAAGAGGGCGTTAAGGAGGTGACGTGTTTTTAGCCGCGGAAGGGTGAAAATGGCGAAATCGAAATTTGCAAAGTGCGCGAATACATTGTCCACTCTTGACGTAGTATCTGATTAATAGATAAAAAAAATTTCACCTTTGACAAACTACGTACTAAACAAAATTAATATTAAAGTAGTAGTAAGATTTGTCATTCTCGTATCACTTTGAAATTTTAGTGCTAAATGACCTTTGGGTCTGTTTGTACACAGCGGTGCGTAGTGCACTGTGGGACAGCAATGGTGGGCGCGTGATTTTGAACAAATTCGTGGTATTAAGGGAACACCCAGGTATGTATTAAAAAAACAAATAAATGATTAGCAAAGTAGTTTATATGAAATACAAATGTTCGAGAATCGTATTAGAAAATATTTTGAACGTTATATTGTAATTAAAATAAGATCTGTGGCACGCCCCCACCCATCGCTGTACGTACCTGATATGAACTGATAACTTATAGGTTAAGTTGAATTTTTCGTGATAATAAAACAAACATTGGATAAAACTTTACCTTCTGACATCGTTTGGATTGTTAAATGTTCGGTTTTCTTCGTTGTATCAGTGTCGATTTGATAGAAAATCCTTAAACCTGTCAAAACGCGAGCACAAATTCAGTTCGTGGAAAATGGCGCGTTCGAGTAATAAATGGCGCTAATGTTCCTAAGTAGACTATCCTTCGAATTTTTCATCATTATTCAAATTTTATCATTCGAATTTTTGAAAATTCGAATCGTACTCAGTTCTTGCATTGTTGGGTGTGTGCGTTGAAAATCGTATTGTTCCTCGTATTTGGAAGAGGCACATGAACTTCCGAAAGATTTGAATTTTTGAATTTTTAAATTCATGCTGAGTCGTTTCGTTTGCACGTCATTTCACAAATGGATTTGCATTTTTTAGCTGGTTTGTCAAATTTTTTTTCGCGTACAGTTTTTCTATATTGAAAGCTTTATACAAAAAATTAGTTTATGTTCCATGAATTTCTAACCTGCATATGCATGGGATACATGTCTGTGATGAATGGATACAGACATCTGGAAAACATTTTTATCACAGATGAATTTGTTTTAAATATAAATGACTACATATTGTGTTAAGATATTAAATGTTACTGAAGCAAATTCAAGCTTTTCATTTATTATTTTATAGTAGCATATGATATACTTGTATACCTGTGTATCGCATGTTTGTTTTCGTTCTTAGTTATATAATTTATATGTAAATTTCATTTACAAATTTATTATTTTTATACTTGTAATGATTCTCCAACGATATTGCTTTAATAAAATTCATTTATAGCTATCTCATAGCAATAAAATGTTTTTATAAAGAAAATTTAATGTGCAAAAGAGAACAAGAAGTTATTATATAGATCTTGTTATAAAATTGTACAATTGTATAAACTTAATATAGCATGTATATATATATATACATATATATAACTTTATAAGTTTTTATAATAAATAATGTTTTACATAGGAATATAATCATGTCTGTAAATAAAGGCCAAAATGCTAGAGCTCTGGTTGAACCGTTAGCTCTTGACTCACGTACATTTGGTGATGGTGACTTAAGTGCATTAAGTCTGTCACATAACAATGAACAATATTCATCCAATGACTTTGAAGCATTTGCAAATATTCAAGCTGAATTGGAATGTATGAATGCTGAAGAAGTCATGACAACAGACGAGGAGCATATAATTATTGAACGAAATATTGAGACTGAAACAATAGTACCTGATGTGGAAATGACTGAAATTTCTGAACAAGTTGAAGAAGAGCATATTATCTATACAACAGCAAATCAGAATAATCAAAATATTGTATTTCAAACAAAGCCAACATTGCAAAGGCTTCCTACGTCTACGGTACAGGTATATAATATATACAAATTATAAAAATATACATGTTGAGTTTTAACAGTGCTTTTCAATTATTTAACAGGTAAAGTCAAATGCTGGTCAAGTTACTCAAAGTCAGTCTATTATGATAGTTTCTCCTGCTGGTGGTCAAGGAGCCAGTCAAATTTTAAAAATTTCACATCCATCAACAGCATCAGCTGGTCAATTGCAATCATTAGCTCAAACCCTTATAACAGCAAAATCTGCTGATGGTAACATAGTTCAATTAAGATCGGCACAACCCAATAAGCCTGTAATGGCAACCAGTCATTCAGGAAGTATCACATTAGGAAATGTACAAAATTCGAAAACAGCTCAATCAGCTATAAAACGAACTGCTCAGAGCACTCCTCAAAATCGAAATGTAAAATTTTTATTAAAATGTTACTCTATGTGAAATTGCCATATGCATATATTTTGTAATTAATATTACTGCAGGTATATACAAAAATGATATTAGCTGGAAATCAAGCACAATCAGGACAACAAGTTCTTATAACTAGTTCTCAGAATGAAAATCAGCAATCAATAAAATTTTTAAATAATAATACATCAAGCCAAGATGTTACAAATCCAACTAAAACTATAACATTGGCACAAGCACAACAAATGGGACTACTTTCTACTAGTAAAGTTCAACATATTTTACCTTCTTCACCACAAAAACAAGTAAGTAATATTTTGTTCATAAACTTTTTTGAAAGAAATATATAATTAATGTGTAGAAAGTTCAGCTACAATTGTATATATGATTAAGTTATATTTATTAATCATGAAAAAATAATATAAAATTCATTTTTATGATTGTCAAAGGGAATAATTGTAAATAAACTAGTGCAATCATCAAGTTCTCAACCTTCTAAAATGACCATAGTTTCAAGTAATACAATTAAATCGCCCACAAAGATATTACCAGCACCAACTATGAATACACAAGTTAAAACTTCAACAATTTCAAATCAACAATCGACATTTCCATCTAATAAAACATCTGTGCAGCAAAGTCCTCAAAAAGTAATCATAAGACAGGTAAGTTCTTGTCAAATATTAAGTATTTTCCTAGGTTTCTATCTTTATACATATAATATGTGTTTAGAGCTCCTTAAAACCGGGTACCGTCCTTGGAAGCGGGCAAGTTATCAGAATACCAGCTAGCCAGAATATTGTTACTGGGTCTAATCAAGTACATCAAATACAAATGCCTGGAAGACAAGTAATATTTTCGTGATATAATAACTTTTTACCATGATTGTTTTTATCGTGAATGTTAAATGTACTTGAATATTTTTAAGGTGCAATATGTGAGATTAGTTAGTACACCATCATCTGGTACTACAAACGTTGTTACTGTGGGTAAAGCAAAGTCACAAACAACTTTACAAACTGTCGGGGTTGGCCAGAAAATTGGAGGGCAACAACAGATTGTTAAGGTTTGTTACAATAATGAAATGTGTAGTCTTTACCAAACAACATTAATTTACAACGCTTGATATTTTTATTTTTAAATAAAATATAGGTAGTCCCATTAAATACTAGCAATCAATCATTAAGAACAGTTGCACCTAAGGCAACCCTATCAGCAAGTGGTCAAAGATTATTAATTCCTGCAACTGCAACAGTAGGTAATCAATCGAAAAATGCGGTTGCTATTCCAGCATCTGCTTTAAGTCAATTAGCATCTGGGCAAGCTGTTCTTTCAACTAATTCAAATGTAGGAAATATCGTAGTGCTACCTGCTCAATACATTCAACAACAGGTTTAGTATATTGTACATTCAATTAAAAAATGATTTAAGAAATCATTATAATACGAAATTATATAAGAATAGACTATGAAATATAATTTGAAAATGGTATTTATCTTTTTGTAGTCAACAGATGAAGTGAAATTAAAACCTCAACAAGCTGCACCTAGTTTGTTAGGTACCTCACAAAATTTACAAAGTTCCGCGGGAAATTTGTCTGTGGGGTCTGTTATAGAAAGTAAAAGTTCTCAGAGGTCTTATACCAGTGTTGAACCAAATGGTATTAGGCCAAGAAAGCCGTGTAATTGTACGAAGTCGCAGTGTCTCAAATTGTAAGTTCAATATAATATACACTAGCATTTCTAGATTGTAGTACAATGATTCGATTTTTACATATGTTTTTATTTCTTTATTCTTCAAAAATTGAGCATCAGGTTCTTCGTTTTTTTGTTATATTAATTGGAAAATGGCAGTTTATAGAAGTTATAAACTTGAATAAAAGTTGTGATATATAAAACATTTTTAAATGTATTTTAATTAATAATAGTGATGAATTAATGACTTATTTTGTTACAGATATTGTGATTGTTTTGCGAATGGAGAGTTTTGTCATATGTGTAATTGTAATAACTGTTCTAATAATCTCGGAAATGAAGAGGAACGACAACGTGCTATTAAGTCTTGTTTGGAACGTAATCCAAACGCTTTTCGTCCAAAAATTGGTAAAGGCCGCGAAACAGGCGATGATATACGTAGACATAACAAAGGTTGCAATTGTAAACGAAGTGGATGTTTAAAAAATTATTGCGAGTGTTATGAGGTAGATTAAATATTTATATTCACAAAATACAAATCATCTTTGAAGGTGATTGTTTTTCTAAACTGTAGAATATTTTTTTTTAGGCTAAAATTCCTTGCTCTGCTAATTGTAAATGTATAGGATGTCGTAATGTAGAAGAACCAAATTTAGAGAAAAAATCTTTGAAGGATTTAGCAGAAGCTGCTGAAGTAAGAACAGCGCAACTTACGTTAAATAAGACGAAACTGCAATCATCAGAAATGTCTTTTAGGCCACCAGCTACATCAAACACTGGTCCAAGGTATGTCCTAAGAATATATACTAACAAAGAGTACATAAACAATTGTTTTTATGTATTAGAAAATATATTTTATTTCTTTTTTCGTTGCAGACAACCATTTAACTTTTTGACTGACAAAGTAGTAGAAATAACTTGTCAATGTTTAATGGCACAAGCCGATGAGGCAGAGCGTAATATGTTTGACGACGAAACATCACAAAGACTCATAATTGAGGAATTTGGCCGATGTCTTAAAGAAATTATAGAATCAGCACATAAAGCTGAAGCTACCTAGCAGGTACATTCTAAGAAAAAGATCAGTATCGAAAACTTTCAATTTTTACGGACGTGTGTTGAAGGTATAAAATTAGAAACTTGAATTAGTAATTATTTTTTAATCTGAATTTGTCTTAATTACAAAATAAAGTGTTACATACCAAAGATGACAAAATATAATAGAACATAGTATATTCAACTGGTTTTTTTTTGTTTTCTCGTAACTACATAAAAGGCTTTATGTATGTATATTCCATGAAAATTAAACTTTTTAAAATAATGATTAAGTACGATTAATGAAGTTTAATTATCAGTGATTTATTTCGATTTTAAAAAATCGTTGAAAATAATTTGAGTTAATTGATTTTGATACTTTTTAAAAATAAATTTAGACGTGATGCAGTTGAATATAGTATGTCGTTAAGATTTGTAACACGGACATCTAGCTGAAGATATAAAATTTATTTATCTCTTTCTAAATTGTCATAACTGAGAAAAATTGAATCATCTTCAGATTTTATAATCAAGGTAAGAGGCTAAAGTAACAAAAAATATAATCTGATTTATTTATTTACTGATGTTTGCACGTTACACATATTCTTGTTCTATGTGTTGTATCTAAATTGAATTTTCTTAGTTATTTGCAGTAGTATCGATAATTAAAGTTTTTTTTCTATTAAAATATCTGTGTCTAAACTCTATGCAACTAATTATGAGAAAATTTTATACAATATTCAAACTTCTGCAATTAGTTCTGCAAAGAAAATGAATTGTGTTATTTTAGATTATTTTCTACTACATGTGTTTAATGTAGTCATATTAAAAGTTGTGGATGCGATTTCCTTCAATAGAAAATATTGCACTTTATTTTATAAGTACTAAAAGTGTAAGAGGAGAAACTTAAACGTTTTAAATAGAGGTATCCATTGTCATTGTTAATAAAGAAGTGTAAGAAATATGTAATATTCGTAAAGACAAGATTTAAACTTGTTCTCTCTTGTTTAAAATTGATTTTTCTTGTATCGCTAATATCGATAGGTTTCTTTTTCAAGAAAATTGGGGAATGGTTTTTGTTTTTGTTACGTTAAACGTTTCAATATTAGAATTTCCAAGTAAACAGATTTCATATGCTATTTTTTATTAAATCTGTAATGATATATAATATCACAAAATTTCTATAACATCACAGTCTTTTAATATACGTTGCAATACATTACATTTATTTTTTTAATTTAATTATGATTATGAACTTCGAAATGCTACATATTCAGTTCTCAATATCAAGCATTTTTGAAATAACTAGTGATACGGCAAATGGGATTGCGGTGAATGAAATATCAATAATGTAATTGTCTAATGTAACAGTTTAAGATTTAAAAAGCACAGATGCATACTTTTCATTATGCACAGAATTAATCATCATTGCAGTAGTAACATTATTTGTCTGCCATTAGAAGTGATAAAAGTATAACTTTTATGTAGAAAATTAATATAAAGTATAGAGAATTTATATATTATACATAGTACAGTATAAGGACAAATGTAATATAGATACAAATATAAATATATATTATATATTCATAAAATTCGTACTTCAAAGGACAATGTTTATTTTAAGTATACAAATTGTACAGATTATTGATTCATATTGTAATAATCAAATGAAAATTGTACGAATTGAACATATAATTTTGTGGTAATATACCAACATTGAATATTTAAAAAAACTTATGATAGTAAAAAAAATTAATTGTACGTTTTTACTTGTTATGTGTCATTTATATGACAAGGCAGATACAAAAAAACTATGAATTTTAAATTAATATGAAAAGTTTTTCAAACTATACCAACGTATATGTATAAGGAGCTATTACTATGTACAGATAATATTCATATATCTAAATATGTTTTCATGATTCGCGCTCTGTACATAGAAAAAATCTGATATCACAGACTTTAATTTATTTCTTTAATTTAGAAAAATTTATTTAAACGAGTATATAATTTTGCAGTGTCATTGTATAACTAATATGTAAAAAGTACTGATTTATAAATCCAAGAATGATGTAAATAAGCGATGTATCGATTATGGAAATATTCATTACGTCTTTGTTGATATCAGATTTTTCATCATAGTGGTTTAGGTAGCATTAAAATATATGTATGAAAAATATGTATATGTATATACATGTCAAATACATGTACCTTTCAATAAATTTTATGTTTACATTGCAAATATTTAGTTCATTAAAATGTATACAATAAACATTCTATGTAGTACGAAATCTGTATGTTTATGTTACAATTAATTGTATTCTATTTCGTTAAAATTTTACTATTTTTTTAGATTTATCATCTTTTTCATTTGGAACAATTTTACTATTTTCCAAGGATTCTATATCAGTATTTGCAATTGTGTTCACTGTAATAGTATTTTCCTCCTTTTCCTTGATTAAATCTGGGCAATCTTTCTTCAGATGTGTAACATCTCCACAGATTTTACAACAACCCCCCTGAGGATATACTCCTTTAGGGTTATCAGGACACTGTTTAGCAATATGTCCTTGTTCACGGCAAATGAAACATGTTGCATATCTAAATTCTGTTGGTTTAGCTACTTTACATTCAAAATGTGTATGTTCTGTTGATCCACATTTAAAACAAATTCCAGTACCCGCTTGTTCAGATTGAAGTTCAGGGCAATCAGATAAATTATGTCCTGATTTACGACAATGAAAGCAAACGCATTTTTTAATTCTTGCTAATGCTTTTTCAGCTTTCCTTCTTTCCAATTTCATGGCTGCATTTATATCCTTCTCAGGAATTCCTAGAAAGAGATACAAAACATAAGTAATAATGCTAACTAGGGCATAATATTCTGTACATACCTTTCATAATCATTTTTTGTTTCAACTCATGTAATCTATCTGCATCTTCCTTTTTAACTGGGAAACCGTCAAATTTTACAATTTCTACTTCAACACCATTGATCACCATTTTTGAATAACCTACGTCTGGTTTTCTTCTTTTATGTTCTTTGTCATCCCGTATTTTAGGGGGTTTCTGTTTGCGTTTATTATTTTGAAAAGTTTTCTTACCAAACTGGTGTGGAACATTTCTAAAATTCATTGACTGAGTTGCAAATCCGTTATTAAATCTTTTTGTCTGATTGTTTTCTGTACTATAATTCCTATCATTACTGTTACTAAAATTTTCAGAGTTAGTATCAGCTCCTGCTTCAGATGCTATATTCTGCCTTTTTTTCAAATTGCGTTTTTGACGTTTAGATAAAACACCTTGAATTTTGTTTTTCAAATCAGGTGTATGGTTTGTTTCATTATCTTTTATTTGTGAATTGTCATTGCTTTCAACTAGCATTTTAGTAGATTCTTCTGTAGTATTATATTTATTGTTATTTCTTTTTTTATTTAATTTATTAGTATTTGAGTCTGTTTCATCAACCTTTGTATCAACTTGGTCCAATTTCTTTTCAACTTCATTTATATTATCATCTTGACTATTCATTTTTTTGTACTTCTTGCTTTTTACTTCTGTCGTACAATCATCATTAACATCAATGCTTCTTTTCAATAATTTTTGTGTAACTTTAACACCACTTTCATCACTTTTCTTTGAAGACATATTATGATCATTTTCTGTTGTGCTTAAATGTTGTTTGTTATGTTTCTTCTTAATCTTCTCTACTACTGAACTATTTTGTCTCTCACAATTGCTTTCAAATTCTGCCCACTCACTATTGTTATTTTTTGCAACATTAGAAGTATATTTCTCTTCATGCAACAATTCTTTTGCAGATTTAGTCTTCTTAGAACATTCTTGAGCTACGGATAAATTTTCTACTAATTGTTGTTTCATTACATGCCATGGTGTAGCATCATTTGGTGCTCTTTCGTTGGAAGCTTTGGATCCTTTAGCTCTTGCATATCTTGTCATGTTTGAAATGCTTAAAAGTACCTTGCATTGATGAAAGCTAATTATAATAAATAAATACACATTGAAAAGATTAAAAAGCCAATTACCTGTTTGCTTTGTTATATTGGCTTATTCAGCAGTGTATTCCTAATTAAAATTTCACAGCAATCACATGTGGGATATACAAAACAGCAGTTACACTGACAATTTAGTCACCACGTGTTGAAAAGTTATGTTTGATATCGGACATGCGTACTAATGTGTCTAAATAGGGAATGTGGTTGTTCTTTTTGTGAAAACTGGAACTTTAGGACCTAACGTTTAGGTAAAGAAGAATTACAGAATTATTATACACATTGCTGTCACCTAGCGGTAGAATTTGAGAACTAACGAAGCTATAGTTTGAAATGTGCATAGCACGTGCGTTTCACAAGTTAGTAATTAAATGATTAAACAATAACTTTAATTACGTTATGCGCTGTATGAAAAGTGGTGAAAATAAAGAAAAATTTAGTATGGATTAGGTTAGGTTTGGGATTTTGGTTTAGATTGGATTAGGTTAGGTCTCGGATTTTGGGTTAGGTTGGATTTGGTTAGGTCTGTGATTTGGGTTAGGTTGGATTAGGTTAGGTCTGGGATTTTTGGTTAGGATGAATTAGATTAGATCTCGAATTTTGGGTAAGGTTGGATTAGGTTAGGTCTGGGATTTTGAGTTAGGTTGGATTAGATTAGGTCTGGGATTTTGAGTTAGGTTGGATTAGGTTAGGTCTGGGATTTTGAGTTAGGTTGGATTAGGTTAGGTCTGGGATTTTGTGTTAGGTTGGATTAGGTCCGTTCTGGGATTTTGGGATAGGATGGATTAGGTTAGGTCTGGTATTTTGGGTTAGGTTGTATGAGGTTAGGTCTCGTGCCTAGCCTTATCTGACTTAACCTCCAGGCCCCGACTTAACCTGATGCAGACCTAACCGGTTCGAGTGGATTATGTTAGGTCTGGGTTTTTGAGTTAGGTTGGATTAGGTTAGGTCTGGGATTTTGGGTTAGGATGAATTAGGTTAGGTCTCGAATTTTGGGTAAGGTTGGATTAGGTTAGGTCTGGGATTTTGAGTTAGGTTGGATTAGGTTAGGTCTGGGATTTTGGGTTAGGTTGGATTAGGTTACATCTGGGTTTTTGGATTACGTTGTATTCGGTTAGGTCTCGTACCTAGCCTTATCGTACCTAACCTTCAGGCCCTCACCTAACCAGATGCAGACCTAACCGGGTAGATTATATTAGGTTAGGTCTGGGTTTTTGGGTTAGGTTGGATTAGGTTGTGTCTGGGATTTTGTGTTAGGATGGATTAGGTTAGGTCTCGAATTTCGGGTTAGGTTGGATTAGGTTAGGTCTGGTATTTTGGGATAGGATGGATTAGGTTACGTCTGGGACTTTGGGTTAGGATGGATTAGGGTAGGTCTGGGTTTTTGGGTTAGGTTGTGTTTGGTTAGGTCTGTGTTTTTGTGTTAGGATGGATTAGGTTAGGTCTCGTATTTTGGGTTAGGTTGGATTAGGTTTGGTCTGTAAAATTATTGTGTTTTGCTTAAAAGCAGTTGCGTCAAACTACATCTTCAGATACTATTAACAGATCATTATATACTGTTTTTTACAATAATACTGATATTTTCGTATAAAATGGACATTCTACTATCGATACATAATGTGAGTGAACATATCTGTGTAAGTTGCAAAATTGATTTTTGTCCCGCTAGATTAGCCAAACGACACACTGTGCGCTGTATGAAATGTCGTTCACATAATCTATTTTGACAGGTACGTGCCGGATCTGAACGCCCCCTTATGCAGGTTCGGCACAGCGCCATCTAACAGTGGTACGCGGAACTACAATAGAAACTTCGCTGATGGTATATTACCGTTCAAATGTAATCAATTAATTACAGACAGAATCCGATCGGTACTTTACACGTGTTCATCATAGTTTAGCAGTTTATTGTTAGATGGCGCTGTTAACAGCATTTTGTGGTGATGATCGGAGTTGTCGACGGTCAAGAGGAATTCTATTTTCAAGCCGTCGATAAACAAGAATTTTATTTGTATTTGATATTCAATTTTATTTATGTTCAATTGTATTTTTGAAAGAAAAACGTTCGTTATTCATTCCATAATCAAATCTGAATTGAAAACCACATATTTAAAAATCAATTTCAATAAATCAGTTATTTTTGAAAGTTATTATTAATTGACTATTTTAAATTTAGAAAAACAAACTCTATAATTTTATAGGTTTTGTCTCCCTATATTTTAATAATCAATAATACTAACTTTGCAAACTAACTGATTTTATTAGAATTGATTTTAATACTGAATGATTTTAATGAATGAATAGCGAACGATTTTACTTTTACAATTAAATTCAATATAATGAAACGACGATAGCTTTGAACATGGGATTGCCATCCAAGCACTATCATTTTATAAAAAAAAAACAAAACAAGAAAGTAAAGTGAAGGCCCTCTTCTTTAATAAATGTTTTGGGTAAAAAGTCATTAGGTCATGAAAAGAAGTAAAAATAATAAAGAAAATAAAAAATAAACATTAATATATTTAAATATATGACGTTTTTTGTTCTGATTCTTGTCCTCTGTCATTTTATTCTTCGTTCCTTTTTCTTCTTCAGGATATTTGTACAGTCTGGAGACCCAGGTGTCCTACAGCACTCTCCCGCCCTTTTAATCGATCCTGACGTTAGTAAATAATTGTATCAAATGTTAAGTTTAAACTTAACTTAAATATTTAAACATTTATGTAATAATTTTATCGTGTAAAATTAGACGCAAAATTTGAAAAAACAACATTTACGATAGAATATATTTTAATGCAGTGAGTACACGACAATTTATCCCGACATTCGGCAAAAAATACATATGTATGTATATAATATATAGATATAAGTATATATTAAATAAATAAATATATTTCCTGTTGGAAACTGACTATTAAATTATTTATACGCACTTTGGCGGGATAAAACAAGGAAATACAATTGTTAGCGCCCGTCAGTTATTCAAAGATCTCCGAGTAGAAATCCTTATCGATGCAAAAAATAATAATAGAAAAAGACACAATGCTGTTTTTCGCGATAATATTAAATTAAAATCAGGATTATTGCGGCGAGCTATTAATTAGGACGAAAAAATTTGCACATTTCACGCAGCATGATCGTTTTATCGACTTATTTTATTATCATATCGATTAATTGTGCGGGCGCAAAACGGAAAAATATTTACGTCCTTGATACTCTCTTAGAAAAATTTGCTTTTCATTTCTCGTTGAAATAACATACTTCTACAAAAATGACGTTCCCTTTTTATATGTAATCAGTTCCACATGCCGACAAAGAATGGGACAAAACACGTCCCATTTGGCATGCATTTGTATACCTTAAAAATAATAAGTAATAACAGATAATTACAATATTACACTAGACTTGTCCCCGCACTTTTCAATCTATTTATCGTCATTATCATAATACTTAACAATTTGCATCTGTTTTTTTATACACTACCACGTGGCCTATATTCGGTGACTCAAAGGAAATTCAAATTCCAAGCTAATTTTAAACGCTTCGAATTTCATACATAACAATTTTTAAAATTTGTAACAAATACTCGAGTATTTATTTAATTAAAAGCAATTTTTGAAATTAAGAAAACAAGAAAAAGAGGGTAGTTAACCCGAAAACTTAAAAATACGATTGCACATAAATTTTATATCGTATGTGACTTACACAATTAACGAGAATATAATTCACGCGTAACAAAAAAAAGAAAAAAAAATAACGCCTAAAATGTTTTACGTGTTCAACAAATAGGAATAGGCCACGTATCAAATTACATTTGTAAAAAAAGAGAAAGAACATAATATACATCGATTTCTACATATAAATATTACATTACTAATTAATATATATATATATATATGAACATGGCTCAGTGTATATGCAATCTGTTCTGTAAACTACAGATCAAATATTAGCAGCAGATTCCAGCATAAGTTGTGTCTAAAATTTAAAAAGTCACACAATCTTTTCAATGCAGAAAATTCTGAATCAAATTTTAAGTACTACACAACTCTCTATGGTACAAAAACTTCAAACATCAATTAAGAATTTACTGCTTAAATATATTTATATTTATGCACTTAACGTTAAATCCAAATATGAATTTTCATATTAGTAATGGTAGTACCTAATTAATGGAATCTTCCACTAATTTAGTTCTTAGTTTATAAAACATTTTGTATGTCATACTGGAGTGATGCCAAGTGTAAATACAGGTGGCTTTGAGTTATGAATTGTGACGATACAATGTAATATCTAATATTAAACATGCATGTATGCTTCCACACGCATACTTGTACTGGCAGTGAGCATAGCTCCTCTCAATACTCTGGCATTATGGAGTTCTTATCACAGAGATATCAATGTTTGGTACTTTCTTTTTTAATGATTCCACTATCATAGTAGAAACTGTAACCATTTACTCCAGTAAGATCTGTATCATTAAAACCGAGCCTCTCAAGGTAATCAATACTACTCATCAATAATTATACATACATATATATGTGTATGTATATATATATATATGTAATATTAAATTTTTACGTTCTTCTAAAATTATGAATCGTAGATTCGACTTAACGCTTTTGTACTTGAAGTTAATATGTTGCCGTAATCGTACATCTGAATCTCGAAAATTTAGTGAATCTGATTTTTAGATTTAACCATTTGCTAGACCTCTCTTATGACGTATGTTAAGGCCTCTTTTATAAAGGACTCTTGTTTTGAAACGAGACTGACATTTAGAAAACGAAATTACTATTGAATAATTGAATGACACACGTAAAAAGCAGCCTTAGCGTTACCGACATTAAACTAAATTTAAAAAACGTAAATTCAAATTTCGTTGCGTCAGATTTTAAAATAATACATTAACTAAATATACTAAACGAATTTGATTTCATCGAATAAATATATTGTGGATATTTTTTGAAGCGCGAAGAAAAATTACAAAAATTATTTTTTGCAATATTTGTTGTCTATTTATGAAATGATAAGAAAAAATTATTGAAATAAAGTACTTGATTATTTCACAACAGTGAAAATCTAACGACGACGAAATTAAGCAATTACGCATTTTAATAACAATTACAAACAGAATTTTTATTTAGATTGCTGTCAGTCTTGCTAGTTTTGGCAAGAAATTGGAATTGATTTTGTTAAATATTCGACGTAATCAGAAAATCTTACGACACACAAAACATGTATAATATCGAAATTTAATTCTTAAAAGTGACGAAATAAATTATTTGAGAAAGATTATTATTCGCTTAAAATTTCTTTAAAATTTATACGTAAACTGAAGAAACTTCATTTTTGTACTTTTCGGAAAATAAAAAATAAATAATTTACTGTTTTACTTAATTGCTTTAAGTGTCATTGTTTCTATTTCGAATGAAATAATTTTTCTAAAACTTGATGCTTTGTAAAACGAAAACATTAAATGTTAAAAGTAAATTTAAAAATAATTTCGTTTCGATTACGTTCCTTCGAAGGCCTTTTATAAAGGTGCTAGCTGCGACACAGCGATCTTCCTTATTTTGACACTAATCCACAATAATTTTATACCGACATGCATACATGCACACGCACACGCACGTATCTAACATACATATAACATGAAATACGAAAAAGTTACACAGAGCACGCCAGCTAAATATTGAAAAATCAATGTCTTTTTTGATAACACAAACTCAACAATTTTTTTAGAAATAGACTTTTCTTTTAAATTTGGAGATTATATAATCTTTGAGTTTGTTAATTTTAATTATTATATAATTTTGAAATTAGAATTAATTTCCGTATTTATTAGGTCGTATTATAAAATGTTTTTTTTTGAGAAACTACTTTAGACTAGTTACAAATTTTTAGTGCTATTTATAGCGGACCGTTTTGGATAATTTGTAAATACAGTAATACCTAATTTTTAGCCACAAATTTTGTTTCATTATAATTTGCATCTGCATATCCAAAGCAAATGTTTGCTCGGAGCTTCGAACTCATAAAGCTTGTTTCATCTTATTCATTTTCCATGTGTCTCACTTTCGTCCCTGACACGTTTATTGTTAGGATCATCCAAGTTAAATATAATTCCTGCAGTATCTTCCTACTTCGACAATAGTCACGATTAAGACACAAGCTTGTGACTACTAACTGGGCATTACTGTATTTAAGAGAGAGGAAAAAGGATTAGTTGCTGGCAAGCTCTAACTGTACGTTACAATGTTCACCCTGAGACACGTGTAAACAATTTTCAGAATCAGTCGAATCCGCGAAATAACGAGGCCACTATCATACATTAGACTGTAAAATGTTTTGAATTATTTCAAAACAGTAAAATTACTGGACGTTGTTCCATTGGTTTGTTTAAGGCTTACAGATATTCTTCAGTGCAATATTTGATCTCCTTCAAACTTTCACTGTTCAAAATGACGTACAAGCAATTATTGTCAATTTGATTATTCAAATGAAGTGTTCAAATGGAAGTAAATGTCCGGTATTAATATAAATTAAATCAGTTGCGTGTATGCTTTCTATGTTTTACTCTAAAATGTTTGAAAGTTTGAAAAAAATCAAATCTCAAAAGTAACAAAAACCATTTAGTTTGACAATGAAACTAACTCAGATCGTAAAACTTCACGATAAAACTCGACGACAATGCAATTATTTATGTGAGACAAAATTCTCTACTCAGTTAATGGCGGGCATTCGATGATTATTACTTTTAATTGCATGATTGAGAATTCAAAGTTCATTAAGAGAAAATTCTCATAATATATTAAACCGTTTCCGTGATTTGCAAAAATTCTCTAAGCCCATCACTACACTAAATGAACATGCTAGTCATCCACATTTTCCATCTAATTCAGATTCCATTTTTCCATGTACCAAAGTACCACGGTTTTTCAGTAATTTTTCTTTAAATTTTTTTCCTATGAAGCTTTTGCAAACTGTATAACAGAGTTCTGCCGCTGTGAGGCAATGAGGCCACTCCTTTCACTTTCCATTGACTCTAAAATCTTTTTACACCGCTTCCTTGGCGGAAGAATCAAAGTTTCTCGTACCGGAATCGCCAAATCCAGAGGATCCGGCGAAGGTACAGGACTCACAGGATTACTACTGGGAGGAGTTAGAATTGGTTCTCTCTCAACCCTAATTCCATATTCTCTCTGTCGTTCTTCCTCAACTGCTTCAAGCGCAGCCTCGACTCTTCTACGAGCATCGTTTCCGGGTAAATTCAGAAGCGAAGAACAGTCGCCAACGAAATCGTTATTCTGAATTCCAAAACTATTATATGCTGGAGACACTTCTGGGTATAGAAACAAGTGGGGTTGTTCAACAGGAGCAACAGATGTTGACTGGAAAGATCTATCTTCACTTGGTACCAGAAGTGGTTGTGAATACTGCTCTCTGGAATATATGTAATATGGGAATTCTTGTGGAGTGTCGTAAGTAATAACATGATCATTTAGTTCTTCAGTCCTTTGGTTCTCCTTGTCACTGGCAGTGCTTACACTGTTTGCTTGAGAAATCTCAATTTCAGGCTCAATTGGAGAGTTTCTAGGAGAACCATTAACGGATAATTCTGTGTGAGTTTTAATATGCATTTCCACTGTCTTCTTTGAACCAAATGTCTCATCACATGATGTACACTTGTAAACCTTTTCACCATAATGGGCAACCTGGAACAACAAATATCTAATTATTATACAAATTTAAAATTCTAGTAAAAAAATCAAAACTGTATTTTAAACAGAAGCAATTTTTCACTTTAATGAAAAACCACAAGTAGTTAAATAATTTTTATATCTTAGCAGAAATTAAAGTAATAGTGAAATTTCCTTATGGTTTTTATTTTGTAAATATTTATTGACAATATTTGAAAAATTAATTTCTGTAAAATTGATAATTATATCTTTCCCATAAATTTAACGATTTAAAAATTTCATATTCAACAGTCCATAAACCTCAAATTTACAAATTTTAAAAAAGACTTAAAAAATTTCAAATTTTTAAATTTTCAAACTTAGCAAGCTTACAAATCTGCGCATGTACCACTGTAAACATAAAATGCCAGAAATAAAAATTTCACTTTTTTTTTTACATTGTCAATTTGTACCATATTAAAAAATGTTAAAAAAGTTAAATGAAATTCTTAGTAAGGGAATATTAATTAACCTGATGCAATTTCAGCACGTGATTGTAGCCAAAAGATTTGCCGCATATATCGCACGTATACGGCTTCTCCCCGGTGTGAGTACGCGTATGCACCTTCAGTTGTTTCGAACAAGTAAATCTCTTGCCACAAGCTTTGCAAACATACGGTTTTTCACCAGTGTGCGTACGCATGTGGATTACCAATTGACCACTTTGAATAAACGTTTTTGAACAAACGGTGCACTTATGCGGTCGTTCTCCAGTATGAATTCGCATATGTCGATGTAATTTACCACTGTGTTCAAATGCACGCTCGCACACATCACACTTATAAGGCCGTTCTTTTGTATGGATACGACGATGCACGCTTAAATTCTCCTTCACAGAAAATGATTTACTACAGTATTCGCATTGGTACGGTTTTTCACCAGTATGTGTACGGTAATGTCTTGTCAATCGCGCGGGTACTGCAAAAGTTTTCCCGCAAATATTACATCGGTAAGGATCTTCGCCTTCTTTACCATGAGAGCGTAGGTGACTTTGATATAAACTCTTCTGGTCAAAGATTTTTTGACACAGCAAACACTGATAAGTCTTATCTTCAACATTTGCCGGCAGAGTTTTGGTACCACACGTTGGTGACGCGAATACACTTAAATCTGGACTGCATACGAGGCTTTTCACTGGATTCACCGGCGCTATGGTTGACACTTCGTTGCACACCGACATCGTTGTGGCAGTTGAAATCTGCTCCATTTGATAGAAACCTACCATTCTTCGCTGCAGTTTTACGAGTCTGAAATGAAAATGAAAATAAAAAATTATTGCTTTTATTGAAACCGAGATGAGCTGCTAACAACATAAACACTTTGGTGTTCATAATTAAAATAAAATCAAAAACTGATTTTAAGCAAAAAGTGATTTTGATCGTTATTGTTTGAATCCATAATTTTTCTAATTTTCAATACCTTTTTACGTAAAATGCTTCGAAGAATCAGTATAAGAGAAATATACCATCCTATTTAAAAATTTGAACATGATCTTCACACAGTCTGTTAAGGTCATCGCAAGGTCAAACAGACAAGGGGACAACCTTTCGATGCCGTACAATCTTTATTAGAATGATTTTTTGTATGCTTCGCAGTATGAAAAGTAAGAGTTCGTAAATATTTTTCAGCAATTTTTTAAACAAAATAAAACTATTACAAACCGAAATATTATTCATTTATTTCGTTAAAGAATTTTTTTAATTATATTGTATTACTTGTATTGCTGAATTTATGTGAATGTACCTATATATAAATATTTAATTGGGCGTCGGTCTGAAACATTGGAATTGGGATATATTACCCTATCTCTCATCATATGTCCCTTTCCAAAAACCGCCCACAAACCGTACGACGCGACGTCATGCGCATGACACTTGCACGCACGCGTACGCATTCTGTAACTTCTACTCGTCCCCAATACTATTGGGCCTTGGTAAACTTTGTTATCGACGCACAAACTTTTCTGACTTGGAATTTGTTTGATACAATTGTTTTACACATTATTTTATAAGATTGATTCAATTAAATTATACTTTATAATGAGATCAAATAATTGTATTGGATGAAATAATTATATTGAAAACTTGGGGATGTAGAAATTTCAAAATATTCGAATATGAAAATTCGAGTTTTTGAAAGTATAGAAATTTGGGTATTTCGAGATTTTAAGTTTGAAAATTTGAAACATAAAAATTTGTCAATTTGGAAATTTGCTTGACCACTTTGCGCGCTCAGATTTAATGGTCAGCCATTACGTAGCCACGTTAAATTATTCTTACATTATAAATCATAATATTGTTCAAATTTAAAAAAAATGTAATAATTTTTATTAAAAAAGTCATTGTATTAATAATGATTAAGTGTATCACATCGTTTACGTCTTCAGCAAGTGACTGAACTTTTGCATCGCGCGATTAAATTTGTGAGCGGTGGTATAAGGTGCGGGCCTCAGACAATGTACCATCGGTTGTCTTTTCAGCCGTCTGCTGTTTGAGGCACGCACACACCGACTATACCCACTTTTAAATCGCTTGGCTTACACGTTCGCTACCAACGTCACTATATACGTGTCACTTTTAGACTTCGTATACGAGACCGTGATTTTTAAAACAACAAAATAAAGGAAAATAGCTACAGACGGATCTTCACTGACCCACTCTTGGGTCATTACAAAGTCGACATATTGTCGATAATTTTGTGACTTTTTCGTTACGGTAACCATTTTGAACTTTAAATAAGGTTCAGATATTATTATTAGGTCACCCTATTAATTTATTATTATTAAAAGCATACATAGAAGAAAGCAGAAAAAATCGGCAGACTCCAATGGCAATTAAAAAAATAAAATGTCCAAATTGCTGTTGATGCGAAATATTCTTTTTTTAAATACAATATTTTTAACGACGTTTCTGACCACGTCTGAAGACGTTTCGATCAAATAGAAATTAATTAAAAAAGTCGTTAAAATTCACGAGGGCGTTATACGTCGATAAATTCACCCATTATTATTTGTTTCTAGTTACATTTAAATGAAATTAAAGATGTAATCAGCTTGATAAAAAAATATTGCAAAATCTGGAATGTAAAGGGCATTTAATCAAATAGCAAACTCATTAAGGAAATTTAACGTTACTCGTATGTGCCTACGAGGTCGTTAGTTCAGTATAGGTTAAGGCTGGGTTAAACCTGCACGCGCGCGTCGTCCCTCTGTGAGGCAGCCGTCGTGGTCGGCGGTGGTGCAATACCGCGACGCGACGCGGTAGAAACCGTCTACTGCTGCCTCCACGTGTACTCGTCGCATTTTTTTATAGCGATCACCGACCTCGTGCAACTCGCCGCGCAGTAAGGACGTTGAGTTACATCACGGGTTGCCGGTATGTATCGTTTCTCCTAAGAGATTTTATTGCAATCTTTCTTCCCCTTTTCCGGAATAATTGTTTTCTTTGTTTTCATTGTTTTCTTAATGCGATGATGTACCCAGGATATGAAAACGTAATCGATCGCTGCAAGCGCTGAAGTTCGCGGCCAAGGAGAAAACTATCGATTTCAATGTCGCTAATTTTTGTTTTTCTTCCTTTCCGAAAAATTTGTTCTTTGTCCGTTCTTTACAAAAATCATGCAAATCAACACAAATTGTTGTTCGGCGCGTTTATTAAAAAAAATCAATTGTTTAACAAAATTGCAAAATCGTCGTACACCAACAATTTGAATAGTCCTTCCAATTGATAACATTTCATGAAATTTTTGTATGCACAAAAAAGTTGAAGTATGGAAAATTAAAATAAAGAAAATAAGGAAAATTCAAAAATAAATTTATCGACGAAAGTTTAAGCTTAGAGAGTTTCAATAAAAATCTAAATTAATCCATTATTTCGTACTCATGCTGAATCTAGACACATGAAAATTACTTACCAGTGAAGTTCTTGTTTAGACCCTGTTATGGCCAAGAAAAATCACGTCCCGTTTGAGCATCCTTCGGTAGATATCGAATCAACGAAGTAACTTGCAAGATCGGATCGATGAATAGAATTGAACACGCACGTTTACTTTAACGCATGTCGCTTTCGTTTGTCACTTCTCACAACTGAATGACGACGAAAAACTCAAACTCGAAAACCAAAGGACCCGCCTCAGGACACAGCCAATCGTACTGTGCAATGTTTACCGCCTGGCCGTGCCGAACGGCGGCGGAAATCATCGATCATGACCGAAGCGCTGTGCTCGACCCTGCCCCTCCACTTCGATTATCCCCTCCATCGTGACAACGGCGGCGACCTACAATTTAGGGCGACTAAGTGCTTTTCGCAGCACGTGGAGGCAGTCGTCGTGGTTTCGGCTGACCCCGCGATACGGGTGCGACGGAAGAAGTCGACAGACAAAGACGTAGATATCTCCGGTCTATAGGGACGCGTTCACAATCTACACACGCATATGTGACGCTACGATACGTTACGACAAGCTCCGGTAATCATGGATTGGCTATCAGTAGTTGAATATATCAACATACGAATTCAATTTTAATTTCATTATTTTTTTTAAGCGAAACATCGGTGGGCGCGATTTTGCGCAGCAACGTTGTGGCCGATGGTCATATCTGAGCATCACCAAGAGTGCAAGTAAATCCCAAAATAATTCAAATTGCCCTAATTCCCAAAATTTAAAAATAGCCATTTTTTAGTAAAATAATTTTTTCTTGCAAACTTTGGACCATATTTCATATGTAATGATTATACGTTACGGTTCTTTTTAATTAAAAATATGAAAAAATCGTTGACTGCGTTACGATTTATATATTGATTCCATAAGATGGATCTCCATAATATTTCCACTTCATCTGCACACTTACAGTACGTGAATCATAATCAAATATAATTGAGACAAAAATATCTTGGCTATCGAAATATAATTATACTTTGTAATCATCACGTAGGCGTCAACATCTATATACGTTGCTCTTTACTGATTGTTTTGTTAAAAAAGGTACGATCATTCCCCTAATCCTATACTTGGTAAGGTGTAATCCGTTGGGGAATGGTCGAATTTTGTTCGATTTCATTGTGATTATGCTCGAGACAAGTGTGTGAGCCGTAACGATATTACTTTCGAACGGAGAGGAGAGCAATGACCCACTGCGCGCGGTGCACGTGTGCTGAGGAGAAACCACGACGGCTGCCTCTGGACGGGGCATTGGACGCCGCGTGCGGCAGTAAAAACGTCGGCTATGATACTTACTTCTTACTGTTCTTGTAGTAGTACCCCTGAGACTGTAGTGGCGGCTTAAGACGATAGCAGCCAGTGACGGTAACAATACCGAACACCTTGTCTAATAATGTTAAAATCGTGGCACGCGTAAAACAAAATTGCTATATTTAGGTAACTACAAGGTACTTGTAACATATACAATATTACAGTACTATATTTATTGTCGTGGGCATTGGTATACGCGGAAATGATAGATAAGGAAATATGGAAACATTTTACTGTTTATTCCGATGGATACATATCAAAGTACATACACAGCATTGATTATGTTACTTAAATATAAACGAGCAATATTAGTAATTCGATGTGGTACGATCATCAGGTATTTCTATGATAAATAAAGATAACAATAGACGCGTCAAATCGTTACGTAATATGTAAATCGGTGATAACTTTAAAATGCATTCGAAGGATAAAATACGTCAATGTCGACAATGCGAACATAGATAAGATTACCGTTGAAAATTTCAAGCATCGCATGCAACTGCGCAATACTTCTCGATATTACCTGCCGATTGAGATGCTGTTTTCGCAAAGAAAGTAGACAAATATTTATTGTATGATAAAATTAAAATTACTTTTTGTAACAATATTATTAATGATTATCAAATGTCTAAGTAAATACGTATAAATAATTCAAATATTGAGATCAACAAGATAAGAAGAATTACGAAATAAGTGTTCGATACGGAAGTTATCACATTATCGCGTATTGGTAAAGCACGTGGAATTATTATCGTGGCATACAGCCCTGAGGAGGCACGTGGGTCAACACAACTTACGTGGCTCAAAACATACGCAGTGTCGGGGTCGTGGCGAGATCGACGAGGGTTTCGAGACGTCGAAGACAGAAGAGGTCGAATACTCGATGGTGGGGGTATGGACCAACTAGAAATCTCTCAGGGGAGTATGGTGGGGCAAGGGTAGAGGTAGCAATCAACTCTAGAGCGATGTCGTACCTTGACCAATCTCAACGCAACTTGTTTTAAGCTATGCCAGCGATGACCTTAGGAATGACTTGCAGTCAGGCCGAAACTAAAATGGTAAAGAGAAGACTACTAAATGTGTCTTATTTACTGGCCAGTTATATTCGTTCAGAATATCAAAAATATGTTATAACTTATAACAAATTATTTCGTATATTGAACATTTATGAACAACCGTTAAGTTAACTGCATTTAATGTTTATTTGAGGTTATATTTAATAAAATAAGAATTTCTCTTCATATTTAAATTTATAATTTAATATTAAAATATTGTTAAAAATAAAATTGATTTTTAAGAAAATAACTGTTTAACAAAGCAATTTATTTGTATGCATATTATCAGTTGATATGGACAGCTAACAGTAGATTTCTCATTTTCAATAGAGATCTGAAAATTTGAATATGTGACGATTACTTATTTTTTGTGGATTAATTCACGTATGGCGATTCCAACTTAAAAATACATATAAAATATCATGAAAAGACTTGCCTGCCCTTTAAAAGTTAATTCGTAAACACGTTTATTTTAAGAAAGGAAAGGAAGAGAAGACCAAAGAGAATTGAATCAGCCTGACCATCCCAAGTAGAAAGTGGAAAGTATTTCCTAAGGTCAACGCCTTCATAGCACGTGTAACAATCTATGCCACCAAATGCACTCCGCAGTGTATATTACATTTCAAGGTCGCATGTATACGAACATAAGTTTGTTTAGTTTTCCCTTCCGCATTTATCTCTTTTTAGCGTTACCTAATTTAACGTTACCTAGTATTGCATGTTATAAATGAAGACGTTTAGGACAGCGTTTTTTAAAATAATTATCATATGCCAACTTTTCATAAAATTACATTTACTCTTTTACCCTGCCTTTATATTAAATTAACATTTTACGTTACGACGCATTTTGTCTCATTATGGAATTAAAGCGGAATATTTCATATCTGTATAAATTCTTATGTTAAAATATATTTTATTTATACAACTGAAAATTTATTTATTATGACTCAGTCAACCCCAAACTAACTTTTAAATTTGGAAGTGAAAATGCAATTAAAGTTAACATTATTATAAAAATAAATTTTTATATGATAGGTATATGTATAGATGGTAAGACGCTTTGTAAATTAATTGTATTCCCTCTTATTATTCGTGCGCACTATGTCAATTTCAAAACCAAAATACTTTTTAATAAAACTAATGGAATTGGTAGGAGTTCCTCTCAACAAAATCCTTTCCCCAAACTTCAAACTTTTTTAAATTTCAGTTTGGATTCAGATAAGTTCTGCAGATTTATAATTCGATTAAAAAATAGCGTATACTTTTGGTAGAATGTTCTCGAGGAGGCGCGGTAGTCTCTTTCTGTTTCAAATGATATCGACGCTGTATCGGTAAAGCAAATGGTGACATTGCCGCAACAAAATATTTCTCAATTTTGTGAGCCTTACATTTTGCATCGCAAAGAATATTTCTTGTAAATATTGTTCTTCCTTTAAATGAATTTATTTTTGAAGTTTTAGTCACACTGCGGCATGAAAGTTTTCAAAATTATTAAAATGGGGTAATATTTTTCGTACAAATTTATTTTAATTTTCTAGTCACTGAAAGTCTTTCCCGCAATGGTTGTTTTTATGTAAAATGAAGTTCCTTAGAAAATTTGGGTTATATTGGATTTGAAATCTTTTTGATTCGAATTTGGCACCATACGAAGTTTGATTGAACTTTGGTTTCATTCTTCGCTATAAATTTCTGAAATTTGGCTACACTGGTATAACGCTTGAAATCCCCTAAGAAAATGTAGCATAAAGATTGATAACGATGTTCGGATACAGATTGCAGGCAGATAATCAATGTGTGTAAACTTATAGTAATATAAATATTATATTATATACAAATTAAATGTAAAAATGGGAGATAACGCAGTAACTAATCCTTGGGATTCGTTATCCACGGTAACAACATTTGATAGAGGTAGGTAACATAACCTTAAAATACCCGCGCAATTTCGAAATGTATTCGAATGAATTGTTTTGACATGTAATAGACTGTTTGTAATTTTAATGAAATGTAACAATTTAAATAGTAACTTTTTAAGTATTTCTTTATGTAAAGTATTGTTTTTAATAAAAAGTTGTCAGAAGTTATAAGAAACTTGTATCAAATCATTTTATACATATATACTAACAGTTTCTTCTTGTACAATACTTATTATTTCATGTTATTTGTATTTGTAGGCAATAGCGCAAGAAGTACAATATGTTTAAACAATGATACCAATCAAAATAATGGACAACTTGTAAGCATAGTAACACCTTCTACCAGTTTGTTAATTGAATCACTTATACAGCAGCTGTGTATGTTGTTTGAAGATGATACAGCTCGCAGGAATAAACTATATTTTGGTAATTCATTTATCCTTGTTATACAAATTATATAATAGTATTGTAAAATTTATAAGATAACTTTTAAGATTTTATTTTTCTTATTTTTAGCTATTTGTGATAGACTACATGAATTGAAGTTAATTGATAGTTCTTACAGTATGATGGAATTTGAAACATTAAGAAGTCAATATCAACGTGCATTGTATCATTTAGTTGCAGTTGCACGTGCAGCAACTGGTTGTGAAAGTATACTACAAGTACCTAGGTATGAGATTCAATAATCAATCATATTCACACACATCATATATTATTATATAATAGATTCATGTGACATTTTTCGTATTAACTTTGTGTAGTTCATTGATGACAGAATGGTCCCGGTACCATAGAGAATTTCAGGAAATAAGTTTTATTGGTGCTGGAGGGTTTGGAAATGTTTTTAAGGCTCTACATCGTCTTGATGGTATTGAGTATGCTATTAAAAAAATAATGGTACGATCTGGACGGGTTAAAAGTATTATGCAACATCTTGAAGAAGTGAAAACTTTAGCAAAGTTAAATCACACCAACATAGTTTCATATAAAAGTGCTTGGATTGAATCCACAGTACCTTCAACTTTTGTACCAAGTTTAGTATCTCCAGATCACTTCCAAAGCAAATCAAGTTCTTTAAGTCATAGGAGAAACAGCAGATGTAAATCATATAGAAGTCAGTCCTCTGATACACAGAATCAATTAGGTCCTAGTGGTAATTATAGTGACACCACTCCAAAAGAAAATGGTCAACAAGGTATGTGTAAGTTATAAGTGTTCATACAAAGATTAAGAAAATATTCATAGATATTTAGTATACAAACAGTTACTATATTTCTGCTATTATATAAATTCAACATATCATTTAGGAGATCAATTAACTCAAGAAAGTATTGCTGAAGAAAATATTGAGAGAAATATTTCAAATAGTATATCTTTTAGAAGTGATAGCAAATATCAAGATAGGAAAACAAATAATAACACAATGGATGGTACTGATTCATATGAAGAAACTAGTAGCAACAAGCAACTTTATCCATATGTACCTCAAATGGTTTGTACAGTTTTCATTGTTATTCGTTTTCTTATACAATTAAGATGAATTAAGAAGTTTCTGTAAAATATTTTAATTTAAAGAATGAACAGTATGCAACATTATACATTCAAATGGCACTTTGTGAAAAAACTCTTCAACAATGGCTTGATGAACGAGTGGAGATGACGTCGCAAACGATGATTATAGCAATATTGACACAAATACTGTGTGGCCTAGAATATATACATTCGCGCAAAATTGTGCATCATGACATAAAGGTAATAAAAAGATAAAGAATTTACATTTTATGTAAACTGTTTAAAAAATGTTAAGTGTAACATTTATATTAAATTATAAATAGAAGATATTAAAACATATATTCTTTTTATTCTGAATTTAGCCAAGCAATATATTTATTTCACTGTCAGGCCGTCTGCAAATACAACTAGGAGATTTCGGTTTAGCTTGTCCACTACAAAGGGAAGATCATCATTCTATACTCGGTACACATATGTATGCTGCACCAGAGCAATTACAAGGAAAATGTGACCCTAAGGTACTACTTTAACCTTTTATCTTTAATGTTACCTTTTGAATATATTTTAGCTTAATTTGTATTGTTTCAGAGTGACATATACAGTTTAGGAATAGTACTTCTAGAATTATTGATACACACAAAAACTAACATGGAAAGAATTGAAGTAATTAATGGCTTAAAACAAGGTCAAATACCAACATCAGTGACTGCCAACTATCCTAAATGGGTAAGTACTTAAAATAACATGATTTATATGTAATTAAAAAAGTAAACGAAAATAAATTTAATTTTCATGCAGGTACATATAGTAAGCCAATTAGTTCAAACAGATCCTAAGAAACGGCCATCAACAAATCAATTATTACGTGACTTAAATGAAGATAAAGATATAACGATAGCACAGTTAAGAAATGACATTGCTGAAAAAGATGATACAATAAATAAATTACAAGAAAGAATATTGTTATTAGAAAAACAAATAGCTAAATGCAATATACCAATAGACGATATATAAACGTTTCTTTTAATTGGACTGAAAGAAGATAAACTTTTAAATGAAGTATAGTATTACTTTTTTAATAATGAACAATAAAATAAGGTAAAGACTTAGACATTATCTTTCGTTTTAAGAATTGAAAAAGAAATAAAATAATGATAACCGCTTAAATTCTAAAGCAAGCGAAAAAATTCGTTCGAAAAATGACAAGCATCACTATTGTAATGTTTTTTCCATGTGCATATTTTATGAAATATTTTTATATTTTTAGTAATTATAAAAATTGTTATTTAACTTTTGTTGTATTCTCTTAATTTACAGACTTGATACTAATTACCGAATTGGTACTAATACAAATAGGAATATTTTGATATAAATATTATGTATAGTACTGGAAGCAAATAAGGCCTATTTTGCCAAAATCGTGTTTAAAATTGTACAAACACGTTGAGATGTTCCACATATATAGAGGTAATCCATAAATACACGATGTCCATCACAGTAGACTTAACCGGTGTTGCTCTTCGTTATGAAAAATTGGGAACAACTTTTACTGCATTTTATTAATATTTCAATTTGTATTATTGTTTTAATTATTACTTATATGTTAAGTTTCTTTAATATAATTTCCATTGTTCATTTATTTTAATACGCGCTTAATTATTTAAAATATAAGTAATATTAGTACTAACTGGCTAATAAGGCTTAACAAAATTAAAGTGGAGAAATAAATGGAGTCATGAGGAGTAAACTAAAAATAATTAATACATATTTATATACTCTAATGGCTGTGAGCGATTGATAAGAAAATAATGAAATTTTCTATTCAAAAAGATATTTTAAATAGCATTAAGTTTCAGAGGTGTTTAAGTTTTAAAACCTTACTAAACAACTTCCATTTAATAAAGTCGGAAGCAGTTTCAATTTTTTTACTTTTTTGACAACGTAGATTTTATTAATGAATGAGTTTTTATTACATTAAGATATACTTTTTAAAAAGACAACCATTTTAACATTATGTTAGCCTTCTTTACCTCCGGTACTTTACATCAATTTCTTGTAAATAGAGAGCATTTGTTAATTAATAAATTACAACCGACAGTTGTAATACAATTTTTGTAAATATATTTAAGATTACTTATTTTGAATTGAATTGTGATAAATGGTATAATATATAGTAGACTTTGTATATGCACAATGACATTAAAATGAAATGTTATAATCTTTTTATAGTATAGCAGTTGTTAAAATATTTTATGCATCGTGAAGGTTTATACTATCAATTTTAAACCATTATAATTTGTATATTTATGGAATATTATATATTTAAATAACAAATAATGAAATGTACATTTGAACTAAGCCAATGTGAACATATGCGAGACCGAGTTTCAATGTATTTATTTTAATAAAGCGTGTAAATTTTTTTTAATAAAAAATCAATTTTCTTTTTTATTAGTTTCAGCAGTGATGCGATGTTGCAGAATGAAATCAAATGTTATATAAGTAGTAATAATAAAATTCATTTGTTTCTATGTTTAGAAACACTTTATTACACTGCTTGCAATATATTACGTGGATTCGACGATGCCGATTACGTTTACCTGGTACAATTTTAAAGCAGAAGCTATATGTCGGTTACTTAGTTCATTTATCGATAAGTAACACGTATTACCGACCTGTCGATAACTTACTGACATGCTGGAATCGTTACTGACCACTCGTTTAATTTATATCATACTCTATAATATAAAATCATAACGTAACGGTGTAACGTGTAACACTTTCATACTTACTAATATTAATGAAATTTGGTTAGTGCCCTATGCTTATAATGCTCCCATTTCTGCCTATAAGTGTCACTTGCAACCATTTGCCAACCGAAGTTAATTCTATAACTTTGAAATGATCAGCCATCTAACGGCAAAAAGTTGAAACTCTTGGATCTATATCTCTAAAAAAATGTTTGCATTTTTGCACGTCTTCGGTTTGTTAATACTTTTGAAGCATTCTACAAGAAAAATATAACATAGACAACTTATGTCAAAGATTTATTTATATACTTTAAAGCTGTACAAACTTCCTGACGCATACTTTTATAAATGCAAATACAAAAATAACAATTATTTACGATTGTATTAATTGTAATATTGTTACATGTATCAAGCCGTTTGCATACTTTTTCTTCTTTTCGATTTGTTACCATCTAATTTGTGTTTGAGTATTCTCTTCTGCGAAGTACTGGGACTAGTCTGTTCAATTTGTGAATTTCCATTCTGAAGTGATTTATCGTCATTTGTTTCTTCGTTTAAAACAAACGAACTAAAATTAAATGATTCGAAACCTTCTGACATCGTTTTTTCACGTAACATACGTGCTTCTTTTTTCAATAACTGTTTATCTTTCTGTTTACCCTTATTTTTTTTCCTTTTCTTTAATGTCATTATATCTGTATCATTTTGTGTATTTCCGTTATCCTGTACAACTTCTGTATCTTCTTGTTCAACATTATTTACATTGTTTGTTATTTCTCCATTTATTACAGCAGTCTGTTTATTTTTACTTTTTTTAGATGGTCTAAAGTAAGACAAGAATATAGAACACAAATAAATATGAACAATAGTAGTTATTTGAGTTTATACTTACGTGTGAAGAGGAATTCCAATTTGTGTTGCCAATTTATTATATGCTGCTTTTGTATCTTTTGCAAACGATACATGAGCTTTAAATTTTGTGAGTACATTTCCAACATCTTCCCAATTCCATGCTTGTGGCAAGTGTTGACCGTGAACGTTTCGCAACAGTAATAAAAGAAGACAAACATACCTTTGTTTAACTTCTTTTCCTATTCCATTACTACTATTTATAACGGACAGTTGATTTTCATTTTTATTTGTATTACATAATTCTTTAAGTGTATTTACAGTATTTTTACATAACTTTTTTTCCATTTTTGTTCTTATGTCCAAATGTTTCGTATCATAATGCACTAACCGACTATTATTGTAAAAGACTGTTAAAAATTCGAGTGCATAACATCGGCGGAAAGACCTCACACTACTGTCAAAAGCAAAATCCACCTATAAAAGTAAACGTTTACTGATTAAAAATATATTTCTGGTAAAACTGTTGTTATCGAAAAAGAAATTAGAAATATACCAGCAACGGTGCTAATTGCCAGTTACCCTCCCAATATAACTGGAAAATGTTTTTAAATAATAAAGGCGACAATATACAGTCTCTTCTTTTGAAAAACGCAGTTAAATTTTCTCCATAAATTTGAACTATAGCATTAGTAGGCAAATCAGCTTGCTGCGCGCACCTCACAAGAAATGTACAACATTCTGCTAATTTATCGCTCATCTCATGGCAAACTGATGTTGTTCGTTCCCCTTTTTCTATCAATGCCTTGAAAACACATAGTTTTTAGTTATTTTGCACAAAAAATTACTTTCCATTTTACAAATTACAATTACCTTCAATATCACTATTATCAATTCTTCGTTAATATCCTCAATATCCTTAAATTTTTTTACCGTTGACAATTTCTTTAAACAAGATCGAACCCTATCTTGAAGAGGTTTTTGATGAGGATCTTTTATGCAGTATTCCAACAATGTGAAAAGGGGTAATAACATATCAAGTGCTACTGCCATTGATGGACTACATTCTAAATAAGTTTCTAACAAATCTATGACACGAATTCTAAAATGTGTAAGGGCTTGAGCTGATCTTTCTTGTTTTTTGGACTGTGATTGACGATTTTCTCGCAAAATTCTAAATGCTGCCGCTAACGATTCATCTAATCTTTTTCCTTCTTCTTCGTCAATGTCATCAACGTTTACGTCTTCGTCGTCTGTGTGAACAGAAGCATCGCCTAATGCTTGACGCACTGCCAATCTTAATCTATCAGTTACTGTTTCATCTTCGTCATCCTCGTCTTCATTCATTGATTCTTCATTCGAATCAGAGTTGGTATCTGACGAAGTTTCCAATTTACTATTACTATTGTTTTCGTCATCTTCGCTATCATCTTCGCTTTCATCTTCACTGTTCGAATTTGAATCTGTATCCGAGGAAACTTCTTCATCAACATTATCTGTTATTACAAGAGGTGTTTTCTCACTTCTCACATCTAAGACCTAGAAACAGAAGTTTCGTAATAATATATATATGTATTCGTAAATTTTATTTATAATATTTATGTACCGTTAATATATGATGTATAGCCGTTGGTGTCACATACGGACAAATATGTGGAAAAACACAACCCACTAATGATCGTAGTAAATGGCTATTTTTAGAATAAAACGATAGTAACAAATCAACAACTACTTCTACCCATTCTGGTTCATCTTCTTTCTTATTAGCACCTATTTTACATTTTTTGGACTTCTTTTGCAGCCTTTCGTAACAGCTTTGAAGTTCATTAATAGCCATAACAGCCATTTTTGGATCTGAGAATAATTGTAAACCCATGTGTAAATTCATTGTGTGAAATACCGGCACAACTTCCATCTTTTTTGATTTGTTTTCTAAATTTTCGATTGAACGTATCACTTTTTCCCAAGCATCCTGTGCTTCCTCTGTTAACGGGTTTCTTAATTTTAAAGTTTTGTTCTTTATATCTGTATTTACGTAATGAACTAATTCTTTTAATACATTTCGTAAGTCGTTTAACTTTGGTAATTTGTGATCCAATGCATGGTAAAATGTTTCCTTAAACTGCGCTATAGAAACAAACATAATTTCAAAAATTAAAGAAATACATATGCATTTGTACATATTATATAAAAAAAACCAAGTGAAGCAATAATATTTACATGCTAGTTCTACTCCAACATTTGGCATTTCACATAATCCATAAACAAATAAAAACTTCAATTGATCTAATCTCCATTCTTGATCAACAACTGTTTTATAATGTCCCATTAATCTAGTGAGAGATATTATTAGATTAGATATTATGATATAAATAAAATTAAATCTTATTTCTTTTATATCACATCCAATACCTTGTTAATAAATGAGCAGCATAAATTCTTTCAGCATTGGTCCAAAATGACTCTGTTTTTATGTTTGATTTTTCTTTAGGTAGTGTATTTTCAATTATATTTCTATATATCTTTGAAACTTTTTTAATTCCTTCTAAACTCAAATTACTCGTAACTGTTTGAACTACTTTTGTACCTGTCTTTTTTTCAATCATTAAATCACCTGGATATATTATTAACTTCTTTAATACAGCAATTTGTAATTTTGACTTGATATTATCGCTGCTTACAACTGTTACTAATGAATTTAAAATTTCCTTAAATGCCATTAGTACTTCATCTTTATCATGTCTTTTGAATCTTGAAAACTTTGTTAACATGTACTGCATATAATTTGGAGATAACAGTGACAGAAGTATAGACTTATCTTTAACACTTGATAATATGAACTTAAACATTTGTACAGCTAAATGTTCATCAGTTTTAGATGGTTTTGTAAATTTACAATCTATATGTGTCCAAAAGTCACTAACAAGATCAGTTGATACCAAGTTTTCACAAAATAATTTAAATACTGGATGATGACATGATATAACTTTGGGTACATCCTAAAAATCAATAACATATGTATAAGCAATTTTAGAAGTGAATTACATAAATAATATTTTAATGTATACTTACTAGTAACACTTTCACTATATTGCCCATAGACTCTTTGGTCATGATATTCTCTGTGCCAAAATGTTTCTTTGAAAATTCATTATCCACAAGCGATGGACATTTGTTTTTGATAATTAATAAAACATAAAAGGAATCTAAAGTTTGTTCTGGCCAAGGCCTACCAAATTCTTTTTCAACAATAGGCCAAACTACTTCTTGTATGCAATCAAGATTAACTAGATTTATAAAATTAACAAGAAATGAAACACAAACAAATGACAGGTAACTACGTTGTTTACCAGCATTGATAAGATTTTGTAAGACTTGTGACTGTATCGTACTGGTATCTTTTAAAAGTTTAAGTGATCGTATTAATGCTCCATATGCTAATATACGTCCCATATAAATATCAGCATTTTCCTAAAGGTAATAAAATTGACATTACACATTAAAATAACTAAACAATGCTGTAGAATAAAAATTAACTTTCTTACACTTTTACTGTTACTATTTACTGGATGCAATTCACTGTCTACTACAGACAGAAAGTTGTCAATTGGCAGTTCAGGATGCATTACTAAAAAGGCTGTCAAAGTTGTGTAAAATCCTATTCTGGAAGTTATTTTTGAAGAACCTAAACTTCGTATAAGCCTTTTCATGGCATACTTAAATTCTTTACTGTCATTTTCTTCCTAAAAAAACGTTTATTATGAACACATAATTCGTCCAAAAAATATAAATATTTTTCGCGCTATCCACAGACTATGAACTATAGGGTTATCTTTAAATACACACTTACTGAGCTTTGCTGATGTAAATACTTTAGCAATACAATTGCACCGTCTATTCTTTCAGGTTCAGCTTCGCTCTTGAGTTTTGTAAAATAATCTAGAATCGTGGAATCCATTTTATTTATTTCTTTTATTTCAGAGTCATTTGAAAGAACCTCTACCATGTGCATAGTCTGATCTGCCATCTTGCTTTAAGTAGAAACTACGTTAATCTATAAACGATTTCTTATGATTTGATATATATAAAAATAATCGGATGATTTGAATATTTGAATAATCTTTTAATAATTATTATTTGAACAAAACAAAGAATAAATAGAATATGAAACTAAAAGTATATATCTTATTTTTGTATCGTACAGATTGTCAGCCGTTTCCGTTAAAAATTTCATATTTTCATCCAAAACTATCAAATTACTATTCATCAAAATTTTTAGTAACATTATGCAAATCGATGCAAAAATAACATATTTTTCGAAGAGACATCGTCGTGATCAAATCATTTGAAAATTTATAACAGAAACAGCGGTAACTGTGTTCTTTACAAAAACTGTTAGATCTTTTCAATGAAATACCATAAAATTCACCAATGAAGGTAGCGATAACCAATTATCTGATTTTGTATAGTTTCGTGATTAAAAATTTTTTGGTGATTAAAAAAGTGCCATCTTGAACATAGTGATTCACTCGACCCGCGCGGTCCCGGTCAGTTTCGTGCATCCAATATGGCTGGTCGAGGTGGTTACGAAGATTCAAGGCAAGTATACGTTGCATTTTCCTTTGTGTATACCAGTCATTGAGGTTTTTTGAAATAGTGCAATGGTGATGTTTGTTCAGTGTGTTGAACTAACGAAAAAACACATTTTTTCTTCGATAATCTTACGAATTTAAGGTTAAGTGAGTTTCGATTAGAGTGCAGCATAGCACCTTGCAGATGTAGTGCCTTCGACACGCGGCTTTATTTTGGCTAGCTAAACACTAATGTATTTTATTCGTGCCACTATCTGCGATTATATTGACTTGAAATTCGTGTAATACATGCAACTTGCCGATTTTAAAATGCTAAATACAAAATATGAAAGTAATTTATTTTCGTCGAATGTGTACTTAATAGAATTGATGTTGAAATAAAGTGTTATAATCGTAACTTATAGACATTGTATTTCATTTTTGAGTGTTAATATACCAGTTCTAAAATTGCAAGAGTACAAAATTTCATTTATGTAATAGTTTTATCGTGTTTTACAGTTTTTTAACATCCACTAGTAAATAAGGTTAAAAGATAATAAACCATAATAAGAGTGCTTTATCTTTTTGTATTAAATCAACTGTACGAAATATATGTACAAAACAATGTTTTTAAAATAGTTTATGCCTCAATATGTCAAATATATATGGTTTTTTATTTATGTTTGCAGAGACTATGGAGGTGGACATCGAAGTGGCAGAAAACCGTTGCCAACCGAACCACCTTACACTGCTTATGTGGGAAATTTGCCAAATGGAGTTGTTCAAGGAGATGTTGATAAAATCTTTGAAAAACTTAACGTTAAAGGAATCAGATTGGTTAAAGATAAAGAAACTGATAAGTTTGTATAATTAGACTTCATTGTGATATGATAAAAATTTATAGTGCTATAACTACACACCTTGTGTTGTTTTTAATAATTAAATTATTAATAAAATAACTGAATTTCAGTGGAACTCATTGAATTTTGTTTCATTACAGATTTAAGGGTTTTTGTTATGTTGAATTTGAAGACTTGGCAGACTTAGAGATGGCACTGGACATGGATGGGGCAGTAGAAGTAGATAAAAGTTTGATTAAAATAGACGTAGCGGAAGGAAAAAGAAATGACCGAGGAGGTGGTTTTGATAGGAGAGGCCGAGGTGGTGGTGGCAGTGGAGGAGGCTTTAGAGGGAGAGATGCTGGTCGTGGTGGATATGGTGACGATTTCGGTAGAAAATCTATATATTGGATTGTTTATATTATGTTTGACGTACCATATAGTTTAGATATTTTATGTTTAACATTTTAAATTGGTTTCATTAAAACAGTATATTTTGTCTACAGAAAATAATTTTCCATTATGTATGTATATCGATACCCTCATTTCAGTACTTCATATCTAGCAACAGTGAAATTTTGAAGTGGGACAAAGAAGCTGATCGTTTCAGTTATGTATTGTATTTTGTATGATTATATTATATATTATATAATGTAATTGTATAAAATATAAAACTAGAATGAGATAATAATTTTCTTTGCCCTTAGAAAAATTTTATTTATTTAGATATATAGTACTAAAATAAAGATATCAATATATACACATAATTTTTTAATACAAAAGTGTTTTTACGCATATAAATAGAAAAATATTATGCAGGAGGTTATAATGATAGAGGGCAATATGGTGGCAGACAAGGTGGTATGTGGGAGATGAGGGGTAACCGAAGCAATTATACTCCATTCAATGATGATGCAGGTGGCGGAAGTCGAGACTGGTCGCGTAACTCAGCAGCTAGATCATATGGTAATAGACCACCTCCTCGAGGGACTGGGCCAGAACGAAAACCATTTCATGATGAAGCGTTTAACAAAGACCCACCTCCAGGTGTGTTTGCATGGAAATATATTTTACTGAAATAATTACATTTACAGCAATAAAAATATGATTATTTTTATTGCTATTAGCGGCAGATACATCTGGAAGAAAACGTTTGGTGCTAGCACCAAGAACAATTCAAGCTCCTATAAATGCTATGGCTGAATCGAGTAAATCAAGTTCAATTTATGGTGGTGCAAAACCTCGAGAGGAGAAACTTAATACTGATGACAAGTAAATACATTATTATAATAATTAGTTTCTAATTCCCTAAATTTCAGGGAAAGAAACTTTCCCAACAAAAAAAACTTTGAAAACAAACACAAGATCACCTAGTTTCCTCGAATGTAGTGGGGAACATCTCTTCAAAGATAAAATGAAATTAAATAATTTTTATTTACCTCTAAAGGAGAGTCTTCCCCACAAATACATAATGATAAAAAGGTGATTAATGAGATTTTTAAGTTCTACATATTTGGAATTTTTAATTAAAAATGAAATTTTCTCATCTAGTGTCCTCTCTATTTACATTATCTTAGTTGAAAAAATGTAATAATAAATTGGGAATTTAAAGTAAATACTTTGTGTGCATAATGCATGCTCCAATTAATATTGGTTATGTGTATTTATATATGTACGTATAAAACCAATTATCACACATATATACAGATATGTGCGTGTGTGCTATCTATGATCGTTGAAATGATACGAAAAGGACATTTTAATATTCACGTCAATTTGAAGTTGAATTCGGTATCAGTTTGTGATAATATTGAGGGTATGTGTACAAATTATTAAAAAAAATATATTCTGTCATCGCACGTACATTTAATTCCGTGCAAACTGTACTTCTGATATTGTACTCTAAAATAATGTTTCTCTCAAAGAGTACAAAACATTATCCTTTTCATTTCCTTCCTTACAACTTTATAGTTTTACTTCGATACTAATCATTGTATGTGCTTGTTAAAACGACTCGTGAATGATTGTTTAATAGAGAATCATGTTCGATTAATAATATTAGGCAATTGTTTACGCGCTTGTGAGTTAACGACAAACAATTAAGAGAAATAAAGATAATGTGTCGATTATTACGCATTAATATTGTGTAACAGATTAATTAACTATGCTAGTAATAAATGTCGATTATTTGGAAAAAATATCGATGATTATGAGATAATAAATAAAGGAAAACTTGAATTAATGACAGATATTATTATGTAAAACTATGCTTGTATATGATAATATTTCCTGAATAAAGTAGTCGTTTGCCTCGTATTCGTGTAATGTATCGTTAGAAAATTAAGGTTTTTAGGACACAAAATTTATGTGTAATTTCAATTGTAAACGATATGTAATATTCTTAACATATTTTGTAAGTTACTTATGAATATATTGAAATGTTTTAATCAAAAATGTTTTGATAAAATAGTTTTGTGTCACATTTTTATGTAAGTTTTTATGGTACTTTAAATATATTTAGAAAATATTATATTTTGTGTTTAACATTAATTTATAAGTAGAATATTAAAAATTTGAAAAATTAAAGAATAGAGTAATTTTTTACAAATGGTCAAAGTTACTTCAGCAGCCACGCCTAAATTTCTCCCCTATAAAGGGTATCCCCCTTTTCTCCGCCTGAGCACATACAGTAACATTTCCTGTATACATTGTACAGTTAGTGCAATATCTTTTCATATTCTGATCAGTCGACGATAAATAAGTGCATTTGTTGATTATGGTTGTGCTTACTGTTTGCTACATACCTTTATTGAAAAAATAATGTTAATCGTAGTGGATTTAAAACTTAAATAACCTACTTGTACCTTTTCTTCGTATATGGTATACATTTTCGGCATGATTACGGTGTTACATTCTGTCGCGATACAACGCTTGCTGGATTGAAATTTAGCTACACTTCGGGTTTGTCGCGAATACATTTAAAGACGCCACGCAATCAGATTAATTTATTTTGTACCGTTAAATTGGATCGTTGTGTGTGTAAAAATGTCTAGTGAAAGCGTAAAAACGGTGAGTAAAAATGATTATATTATTTATAAATAATTTATGATATTATTGTGCTTTTTTTTGTTATAAGAAAATTTCATTGAGAGTTAATAAAAATAGAATTTTAATTTGACTCAATCTCTTCAATTTTGTTTTTATTAGTTTGCTAGTCTTGAAACTCCTGGATATGTAGGATTTGCCAATTTACCTAATCAAGTTCATAGAAAATCTGTCAAAAAAGGTTTTGAGTTTACGCTTATGGTGGTTGGAGAATCTGGTCTAGGAAAATCTACATTAGTAAATAGCCTGTTTCTTACCGATTTATATCCAGAACGTGTAATCCCTGATGCTATAGGTAAATTTTATTTTTATACTTATATAATTTTAATTTATAATATTTAATTTATTGTTTCTACTTAAATAGAAAAAACCAATCAAACTGTTAAGCTAGATGCTTCAACTGTGGAAATTGAAGAAAGAGGTGTGAAGCTTAGATTAACCGTTGTCGATACTCCTGGTTATGGAGATGCAATTGATAATACAGACAGTTTTAGAGCTATTATACAATATATAGATGATCAATTTGAAAGATTTTTGCGTGATGAAAGTGGTTTAAATAGGAGAAACATAGTAGACAATAGAATACACTGTTGTTTTTATTTTATCTCACCATTTGGTCATGGGTAAGTTAGATTGACTCTTAATTCTCAAAATGTGATAAAATATATTAAATCTCTTGTATTTCCTTTATTTTGGCCAGATTAAAACCTTTAGATATAGAATTTATGAAACAGCTTCATAATAAAGTAAATATCGTACCAGTGATTGCAAAGGCTGATGTACTTACCAAAAAAGAAGTATTGCGCTTGAAGAAACGTGTTATGGAAGAAATTGAGGGTAGTGGAATAAAGATTTATCCTTTACCAGATTGTGATAGTGATGAGGATGAAGATTATAAGGAGCAGGTTAGACAATTAAAAGAAGCAGTTCCATTTGCAGTATGTGGAGCAAATACTTTACTAGAAGTAAAAGGACGGAAAGTACGTGGACGATTGTATCCATGGGGTGTAGTTGAAGTTGAAAACCCAGATCATTGTGATTTTATAAAGCTAAGAACAATGCTAATGTATGTAATTTATTTAAAAAGATCTACCAGTAGAAAAAACTATTTGTTATTTAGTATTTCAAAATTTTTATAGCACACATATGCAGGATTTACAAGAGGTAACTCAAGAGGTACATTATGAAAACTATCGCAGTGAAAGATTAGCAAAAGGAGCTCCTGTTCCACCTCGCAGACAAACGTAAGTTTTACAGCATACTTTCAGAAACATTAAAAATATTAAGAATACATGTATTAATTTATTGTTTTTATTAATAGTATTGTAGAATCTGAAAAAAGTAACTCTGTATCAGAAAAAGATCGCATTTTGCAAGAAAAAGAGGCAGAATTACGACGTATGCAGGAACTTTTGGCGGTAATGCAGGCACAAATGCAACAGCAGCAACCTTAACTACATATGCCTTATGCACAAATGTGTGAGGAAACAATTTCTTCGCCATTACAGGTGCCAAAAAAAAGAGTATCAAATAATTTATAATATTCAAGATCATATTACTGAAGGAATAATTTTTTTAAATTTATTTTTTACAAACATTTATGAAGAATAAGTTTTTCTACTCAGTATTTTTTTTCCTTTTGATACTAAGTCATGAATTTTATCATCTTGCATTATCTAAACAAAATCAAAAAATAATAAAATATATGAGTTTATGGCTATATAACGACATAATATGACTATAGTTTAAAAAATGATTTATAATGATACAACATAGACATATGTGATAAGTGCCTTGGATATTGTTTTTAATAGAAAAATTTACAGCTTTCATTATTCAAGTACAACTATAAAAAATAATGCTCCACTTTATAAAGTCAAATTGTTAGAAAGGAATGATATTTCTTAAAATAACAAAGGCAGTACAATTAAGATTTGATAAAGCAAAGGTAGTGAAAAGTATAATGTAACAGAACTTGCACAATTCCTTCAACATTGAAGAATCTCATTTAAAAATAAATAGGAAATTTAATAGGGCATGGTATGAAGTTATTGATAAAAATTATTTGTATGATACATATGTAACTCACTGAAATGAATTACATTTTGCAGATACATTGATCGATATTAAAATCTGTATGTGTATATCGTTTACACAGTAAAATTAATAAAATACTAACGTAAAATTGTTAGTAAATTATTCAGTATAATTAACAACTGCAAAAATTATGTTTTATTGTGATAAGCATTGTTAAGTACAATGAATAATTTATCACGTATTTATGTATTTGCAATATAAAGTATTACGATTCGTTTTAATTTTACTACATAACACTAGCCATTTAATTCATTTTACTATTCGTGTCAAAGAAAAAATTAAGAAATTTAATCATTAGAAGAGATATGATGTATTAAAGAGAATGAGCATTTATAAAAAAGCATTTTTGTAACGCATGCGAGACAAACATTAATGTATTATGTGCATTTATTTTATTTTTTAATTATTGTACTTATATGTATGCATTTTTATACTAAGAACATTTTCGCGCTTTTGTATGTATTGTACAGGTACACTGAGAGTGCATTTTATATCTCTTTTATACAAATATATTTACTATAATTTATAATATTAAGTGTTCAAGATTGATGCATATAGTAGTCTATTATTGTTGAAAATGCTGCAAAGCCTGCTGCTCCAATTAAACCTGCCTTTACACCAGCTAAAACATAAAATTATACTTACAGATATATGTATGTATATTACATATACTTATTTTACATTTAAACTTTATAAGAACCTCTTAGTCCTATTAGTCCTCCTGTTAAACCACCAGCATACGTGCCATTCTTCCAATCAGTTTTACCTCTGTACTGAAGTGGAATTAGAAAATAATATTAAAATACATACATATATGTAGGAATGTAAATTGAAATTTAATTTTATATTAAATTTATGAAAGTATTACCGTTTCTATTGTACATTCAATTGCTGAAAATATACCACCAAGTACAGCAAAATTTTTTGCATAACCTAGTGTAGTAGTTTTCATCTCCCTAAAAACTTCACGAACAGTTTGTTGTTTTTCAACAGCAGCTACATTTGGGTTTACACTAGATGAAAATAAACCTATTGCAGCTCCCAAGCCAAACCCTAAAAATCTAATTTTTTTTAAATGGTATTGACACAAACAGTAAATATTTAACATCCTGTATTAAAACCATACCTATAACACAACTTCCAATACTTTTAAAAGTACAACTTTCCATCATACTTTCTATCCTTTTTTCTTCATTGGTTTTGATTGCTACATTGGTTACGGTTCTTGGAATTATAATATTTTCTCTAAATCTTTGTTGAGTGCCAATAAGATACAAAGGTAATTCGTCCAAATTAACATCATTTCTAATTGTTTTTTTGTCATTTGCTTCCGACGACGATGTTGTTGAGTTAGATGAATTAATGTTAAACATATTTACTTCAATAGTTTCTTAAAAAGGCAAAACAATTTAAATGAAATTAACTTCACTAAAATTAGGAACATAATTATATACTTACATTAAATATATTTGAATGCCAAAATAAGTAATATCTTGCCCGAATTATTTATGATTAAATAAAAATATTATATAGCAGTTTCTTTATTATAACCTATAATTAAAGATTATGTTATAAATTAAGATGAATTAAAAATTGATTTTATTGTGCTCTGCACTAATTATCATTGTCATATCATTAGAAATAACACTGTTTTATATAAAATAAAAGATTAAACATAATTTCTGATTTTGAGATGGTATACAACTTTTTTTAAACGAACATCGATGTTATGAACAGTAGCTATGTAACTTTGTACAAAGTAAGAGATTTGCTCAGTGCCCTCTATTATCAACGTGGAAATTAATCTACATGTTGCACCGACTATAGATATGATAGTGCTTGAAACACGTGCGTTTTATTGATGTACTTAGGTTATGATAATCATACAAGAAAAAATATGTTTTGAAGAATAAGAATTAACTTGTTTGTTCATATAAAATCAAAATAAGTACATAAATTTTTAGTTTAGTATTCATAAATTATATAAAAGCAATGAAAATCAATTCAAAAAGCGAAGAATTACAGGATGTCACAACCGGTGTTAAGAAAAAGAAGAAAGACAAAGATAAAACAGGTAACTTTGCAATATTTACTGTTAAAAATATAATATTTGTAGTATAATTAACACAAATTTTATGATATCGTTTAAATATATTGTAGTTTATTTAATATTTAAGTTAAGCTTCATCAATATTATATGTGATATATTTATGTTATATATAGTATTAATTTAAGAAATTAATTATATAGGTGATATTAGCGTCGATAAACATGTTAAAACAACTAAGAAAAATAAACTCAAAAGAAATTTGTCTTATACTGAAGATGAAGTAGTAAAGAAACAGAAAACAAAAGATGACTTGAATGATACAAATGGCAATGACTGTACAACAGAATTTGATAATGAAATGTCTTTAGAATCTCAAGAAAACAGCACAGTCAAACATGTAAAACTAACAACAGGTAATACATATTCAATAATGTCTCAATAGTAAATGCATACCAGAGTTGCATTGAAGCAAAAATATGTGTGCTGTAGAGACAGTACTGTATTCTGTTATATATTAACAAATGGAATGTGTTGAATGCAAAAATTATTTATAAATATGATATTGCAGAGCCAGAAGATAATAAAAATGAGGAAAATGAGGAAAATAGAGAAAATATAAATGAAGAAAATCACTATTTTGACGTGAAATTGTTAAGAAAAAGTTTGAATAGTCCCAACAATTTGGAAATGCTAAAAAAGTTTGTAAAGATTTGTAATGAAAATGAAGAAAGAGATTTGGCTGCAGAATATTTAAATTCAGGTGGCAATATTCTTGAAATATTAAGAGTATTAGATACAGCAGAAAAAAAGAATATTAGTTGTATTATAATAGTATTTGCTGTCATAAGAATATTACTAATAAAGTATGTATCTTGTACTTTTATATGTTGAAATGTAATAATAATTTATACTGACATCTGTTTTTATTTAGAATTTTAGCACAGTATCCTCAGTACCAATCTAGTGCAGAACAAGCATGTCACCACATAGTTAATTCACATTTATCATCAATACATTCAATGTTATCTGTACAAGGTAGTGCAAAGCAGAGAAGAGTAGTTTTACAGTTGCTTGCTGCTGTAGTTTCTTTGGGTGGTACTCTTCCATGTGAATTGCTTGTTCACCTGTCTATACCACCAGAAGTTATTAAATCTGTTGTGCAGCACACAAAGCCCACAGATAAGCAGAACATAAGGAATTGTTTTATTCACTTTATTCTTGCCTTTTTGATAGAAGGAAATATACAGATTATTAAAGTTCTTTTGGAAAAACGTGATTTACTTTCTAGCATATTTCCTGATCTTATATATGATTCTAAGGAAATTGTTAATTTAGTCCTAGCTACTCTTAAGAATCATGTTCTTCAAAATCCAAATATTACAAAAACTATGAAATTGCGAATATTTTCAACGTCGATCATTCAAAACATTGTAAATTTGTATAATTGGAAAGGTCCAAATAATTGGCCAAAAAATAAAGTTCAGAACTTTACTTCAAATCCACAATATTTGGAAGAGAAAGAGGTATTTATTATTGATACTATAACATAATTTAGCTTTGAATATTTTGAGATCGATATTTTTTTAATTTAGGTTGTTACTGAAATTGTACATGATTTTTTAATCATATTGTTAACATCACATCGACATGGCGTTATCTTTCATGATCGTACACTTGGTACTTCTCATGTTAAACATAATAATTTAGTGAACACAATAATTCAAAGCTTAGACCGGCCATGGGAACATGAAAAACCATCAGAATTAATAATTAAAATAATGACAGCATGCCCAGACTTAATTAAATCTCAGTTTACTATTTTGGAACCTTACATTGAACCCAGAGTTTCACTAAAATGGATGCAATCAATGCAGTTTGTAAAAAAGGTAATTATACATTTGTTAATATGGTATTAAAGTCAACTCATTCACATCATTCCTTCCAATAACATTTATATTAAATAACTATTGTTGCAGATAATTAATTCAGTGGATGTGGAAAATTGTATAAAGATATGTTCCTCAGAATTAAATATATCACAATTAGCTAATGCAATAATGTCCATAGTTCTACCTGGAGTTTTATTAAAACATACAATTATTCCTTCATTAACCCATTCTAGTATAATAATAAAACACGAGGCAATACTTATACTTTTAACTGTATTTCAACAAATTAAAAGATATTTATTAGTTATAAGAACAAAGTATAACCAGGATAGTGATGTTAATACTTTTAACAAGTGCATATTGGAATCACTAATAAAAGTGAGTATTTGTGTAATATAGTTGTGTTTTAGTAAATTAAAAAATGCAACAACATTACTTTCAGTTTTTCAAATTAATAATAAAATTTAATATTGCAGAATGTACCTACTTTAAATATGATAATGAAATTGTGGACTTCTGTGTCTGTGCCAAATTCAGTTGAATCAGATAATACAGAACACGAACACATTCCAGAACCAAGCAAACATGAACATTTAACAGCCGTTTTAGACTTATTACATATATACAATGAAGTTTGTCCAAAATTATTAGATACATTACCTGATATTGAATCAAATGTATTTTTAAACGTATTGAAGGAAGTGAATGATATTGGTATTGACGAATTTAACGCTTTGAAAGTAAAAGCTATACAGTTTTTAGTTATTTTGAGACCCAATGAATTTTTACCACAAAAGAAAATATTCAAAAATGTATTGTCATTTTTAATACCTCTTTTGAGTAAAGAAACATCCTCAATTTCATTATCTGTAGAAGTAACAATCAAAACTTTGTTAAATGCTACTGGAATGTTTGACGGATGTAATGATCATTTAGATATTTGGATCAAGGGTTTTATGAATTTAGATGATAAAGAAGAAGTTACAAAATGGTTCATTCATATTCTAAAGAAAGCTGCTTTAAATATTGAAAAATACGCGAATGAAATAATCGAAGTAGAAGAAAATATTGATGAAGAAGTAGTTCATGGTGGTCGATTAGAAGATATATTTACAGGTAAAACTTGTGCTTGTCAAATGTACTTGTGTTATATCATTTAAAAATATATTTCTTTTTTATTTACAGAACTGGTAAATGAGAATAATATTTATGAAAACATGGAAAATATCGTTTTACGTATGCAACGTTTTACATCAATATCGCCACTTGTATGTTGCATTTTACATAAAATGAAAACAGATTTACATTCTACCATCTTATCTTATTTATCTTATGTTTTAATACATACAATGCATTATCAAGTAGCACCTCAATGTTTAATACATTTAGTAAAAAATGCAGAATTACCAGTCAAAGAATATTTCCTAAGCTGGTTAGAGGGTAATGACCCTACTTATATTAAAGAAATCTTTCCCTCAATGAATTTGACATGTAAATTAAATTCAGTATTATTAAGCAACAGTAAATTGCAGATAAATGAAGTATTTAATGGTGATAATATAGTTACTTTCCACTATAATGGCGAAGATATAATAATTCATCATTCATTGTCCCCGTATGATATCATGCATTTATTCAAAATGACTGTATTCTATTTAGTACAATTTACTAAACGGGGTAGTTTAACAAAAATTCAAAGTGACAATTGTAAAGTACTTTTAATATCACTATTATATCTGGCTAAAGATAGTCAAGACAATTCTACGCTCGCGGAAAAATGTGCAACATTTGTTTTTACACATCCTGTTATTCTGCATAATTTTTCACCATTTTATCAAAAGAATAAAGATTCGATAAAATGTATTTTAACTCATATGATCTTTGATATCTGTAAAGTAGTGATTCATTTATGTAAAGAATGTAATATAAGAAGTTTGTTTTATCATTTCAAAAATAAGTTAATTACTTTACTTTGTAAAATGATAGACAAACGTAAAAAAAGTGATAAGATAAATGATGTTAATATGATTATTACTATGCTAGAGTTGTTGCAACTAACATCGCAAAATGTCGTATACTTATTAAAAAAATTAATCAGTTTAGAAAGTTCATTGTTTATATTAAATGATGAGAAGAATTTATCATTATATGGATATGTAGTTCCGAAATTGTTAGACATAGCTACTAGCGATGAAATGAAATCCGAGCGTTCTGTATTGCTTGAATTGGATGCAGAATTTGTAAAACATTTATGTTCGCATCTACTATTTTTAAAATCACATTTGATTATTAATTTTGAAACGTGGGAAACATCATTAAATAAATACATTTCAAAATTTCCATTTAATATTGCTAATATTGACGCAAGTAAGTTTATAATAAAAAATTATCTGTTTGATTATATTATACTTTTGATGTACTAATTTATATGGTATTTACAGATATGTTTATGGCATTACTGTCAACGAAGATCACTGATACAACTGTGAAATTAATTTCATTTGTAATAAGTAGAAACGTAAAATTCGTACACCTCTTTGTGAAATATATGATGAAATCTGAAAGTATAAAGGAAGGTAACATTATACTTCCGATATTGGCAAGCAACTTAAATTTTAAATGGAACCATAATTTTTTACAAAATTTAAAGAACCACTATGAAACTGAAATTTTATCTTACCTATGCAAACCGAAAGATACAAAAGTTTGGATAGAAGAAAATGTTGCTGCTATTTGCTATTTAGTAAAACATGTGTTTGATTTGACGGCATGTAGTAAAACATGTAATAGTATTTTACAAATCGGTGATAAATTAGATATGGTATCTATACCGTATATAAAGATTCTTCAAAGCATATATAACAAATGTGCAGCCTCAGATGCAGACAGTGAACAATTCATTATGACTTGGGTACAAGTTTTGCTTCATATCACTACTTTAACTTTGAAACGGGAGTCTAAAAATGTTAAGAAGATTCATATGCTTTGCAAATCACTAAACGAAGCAGTTCAACATTTAAAAAACAAGAAGGACGATTTTGTGTTTGAGGCATTAAGTAGTAGTAACTCATGGCCATCATTTACAAGATTTTCTTTGAAATTGGGTCTTAAAGAATCAAACGATAATGAACAATCACATCCAATATTAAAAACTTTATCTACTTTATGCAGTGTTGCTTATAGGAATAATAGTGATAATGAACATGCGAAAACTTTATTTGAAATGGCAACTACTCATTCTGCATTTATTGATATTATGTTGGGGTCATCAGATATAAAAAGTATGTATATTGCATTAATGTAGAAAGATGTATAAAATTACATATATTTATTTACTGTTTTTAGGAAATTTAATAGAACTGCTGTTAATTCTTATTCAAAAAAATAGAAGTACAATGGCACTAACGCACATACCACTTTATTTGGCAGCCTATAATGCAACTTTGAGTGAAGCTGATCAATATATTTTATTAGTAAGAATATGGTTAATAAAAGTAGATAAACATCATATTATGTTTAAATAAATAATGCACAAATTTGTTTTAGATTTTACAATACTATGAAATTAGTAATATTAATATTTGTGAATATTGGCCATATGTTTGGGGAAATGCAGCAGCAGTACATTATAGTGTGAAAGGTGAAGTACATATGAACTTATGGAGACAACCATCTGTCACTCAAGTTTTGAATTTGTTCGAAGAAGATAAAGTAAATAATACGATAAAAAATTATCCTATTAACAGAGGGTTAAAGGTGACGTTATGAAACTATCTAAAGACATATTTAGCGATTCTAAATAATATTTATTATAATTAAAATTTTTTTTCTTTTGCAGAATACTGAATTATATGACGTAAATGATATATATGATCCTGCATTTTATTTACCACTATTACATTATTTATTATCTGAAAATAATGTTGTATCGTGTCACAAAGTTGCCCAAAGTGGAGCTCTAGCGTTAACATTCGCTGCTTGTAGCAGTGTGCATGCCGATGTTCGCATGTTAGCTTATACCGTCATTGCTAGATATTATACTCATCTGGAAGCTTCTAGGTATTTTATACAAAATAATTATCCATACTGATAATTATATATATTTTTAGACTAAATCTTGTATACTTTTTCTGTTTATAGTTCAAAAGCAAAATTATGGATGCGATTGGTAGACGCATTGCGTTATGGTATCGCATCACTTCAGTCAGAATTGAACAATGTCCGTCTCAATTGTTTAGTTTCGATCTTTCTGGCAAGAACATCATTAGTAGCAACGAAACCGTTGCATTCTCTCTATCCGGCTTTGCAGACATTTTTGTTGGCTAAACCTGCACTAAATATAAACACAATACCTGAGTTGTTACAACTATTTCATAGCTCTGATGTTAAACATAAAGTACATAGATGTTGGATTCTAGAAAATATTCGCGATGGTATGAAAACAGAGACTGATTTGGATGTAGCTTTTAAGTGTACTTTATTTAAAATGCTGTTAGATTTTTATACTTGTAACTTGTCGGATTCGGATGCAAAGGTGAGTAATTTATATTAATAATTACTCTCCTGTTATTTTATCAACCTTGTATGTTTTTATTTTAGATACTCATCTTAGAAGTTATTAACGTTACACTGAAAATTGCTAAGGCATCTACACTTCTTATAGAAGGTCATGGATTGCTTCCCTGGTTACTAGGAATTACGACGGATTTGTACAAACAAGAAACTCGGCATATCGAACTGATAGTGGAAATAACAAATAAACTTTTAAATACTATATTAAGTACAAAAGGGAATACTAATCACTTCAAAATAATGCTTTTAAATGTTATATTGAATTTACAATTGCATCTATCTAAAGATATCAAGATTACCACATTTACATTATATGTAAACATTTTGCAAAAATTACTCGAGTCAAAATCTATCAAAACGATTGTAACAAAGGACAACATAATAGAAATTCTCGAATTGTCAAAAAAATTATTAGGTAGTATAGATGGATGTGATGATATGATGCGTTTTGGTTGTAAATATATAACCAAAACGGACTGTTCTTCTCAGGATGAGACTGCAATAGCAAGAAATAGTTTGAGAACATTAGTTTGGACGTGGTGTAACAATGAATAAAAAATATTACCTTATAATTGTAATTTTTATACACTATTCACATACTATAATTAAAAGCGCGCGTTATTTTGTAAAATATATTTTATAGAAATTCAAATAATTTTATAGCAAAATAAAAACTTGTGTATATATTTCCGACAAAATTAGTTGTAAATAAAAATTATGGAATAATAAGATTATTCTGTTGGCACATTAAAATATGGCGAGTTTAGGGAGATAATTTCCGATCCAATCTGCGGTACGTAATTTCTTGTCAATTCATTTTCAAGATACGTATAAAAGATTAAAAGTTAACTATTCAATTTCTGCATTAAGTTTCCTCCTTATTTACACGTATATACAAGACCACTATATTAAAAATTTATCTACTTCTTGGATAAATTGTATGCACGAAAACATCAGCATTTGGATCGTCCCTCTTTCCAAGATGATGGCGCATTACTAATGTTACTTGAATTATATCCATTTCGCCAGTATACGGTTCACCATTAACAAATTCCTTCATTTTTGGTAAATCTATGTTCAGCTCTCTACGATTAAGTGTTACGGCCTCAGATTGCCCACCCCTGTTCAAATTTTCCATCGCCCTTATGCTTCTTTCGTGGCTTAAAGCGAAATGAGCGACCTTATTCTGATCGTCTTTGCTTAAAAAGCCAGATTTCATACTTCCGGATGTACGAGAATAATTCTCTACGCTATCTGCCGGTCCTGTCGCGTCTTTGTCCGATGCATGTCCTCTCGGATGTCCAGTTACTCTGCATCCGTCGCAAAGAGCATTCTGTGAGCGATCAAGAATGATCCCCGCTGCTCTAGGTGACGTGCCATTGTACCGAGCACCGCCTATCATCAATGATACATCATTCGTATCAACCGATAATAATTTATCGATTTCATCGGTTAAATAGTTCGCATTGTTCGTTAAGAACTCGATGGTGCTTGTTCTTAAATCGTTCACACTCCGTCCTGTTTGAGCGGCAATGACAGCGAATAAGCATGCATTCAAATCTGTTTCGATTTTCGTCGGCTCTTTATTTCCTAATAACGTCCAGTGCCTTTCTTGATGATATTCGATATCAACAGGTTTACATGTTTCATTGTTCTTTCGATCGTTATCTATCGTTCTATATAAATTACCATTTGATTTGTAAATACGAATAGACTTTCCCGTTATGTTGCATAAGGCTTTTATATACATTTGATTGCATGGCCCATAATTTTTCAGATTATTTATCATATATTTTGCTAAATTTTTTTTCCATGCTGGCTTTCGTTTTAAGTATTTGCAGACATTGCTAGATTTATTGCGTTTCTTGCGTGCATCCTTATTGCAATCATTCTGCTTATTAAGCATTCTATGTAGTAATTTTAATCCATTGTTCTTAAGAGGCGTTATTCATGTTTCTAATTCAGGTAGAAATAATGTTAAAGTGCTTCTTATTTTGAGGAATGAAAAAACTTAACAATTTTCTGGACATTGTTGGAACTTTAGAAAAGGAAAATTAGAATCAGCAAATATATTTAATACCTTAAGTCCAAAGTTGTGCCAAAATCATCATGATGTTAGCTTCGTGCTTTGTAAAGTTAAATAAACGTAAAAATTTTGAATTTTGAACCGAAATGTTTAGATATAATTACACGTCAAAATTTTACATTTCTAGCAGTTGTTTTTGCAATGCTTACTCTTTTCTTTGCGTTTCCTACTATTACGTACATGTATTTTAGACAGGAGGAAAAAATGTCACGCCTTTGATCGAAAAGAAATGTAAATTAAAAATTTCGTAATTTTGGGATTTCAGGATGAATTGTCATTTGAATTAAAATTTGATAAAATATGCAAAACATTCGAATTAAGATAGTAGATTAAATTAACTGAAGGGAAATTATTTTACATAAAAAAAGTGGATAAAAATGTTCCTTGGATATCTAATTTCAAATTATAAAAGTCAATCGAGTAAATTTGCTTAATTGTTCTTTTCATTTCATTTATTAAATCGTCATTAATCGATCTTCCAAAGGGCACGTTAAAGCATCCGCATTGCAATAGGTCGTCTTTAATGTAATTTAGAGTATTACAGAGTAATATTAATTAAATCGATTATATTAAATATTGTTTGCATTGTGTGACCGAAGAACAATACAAACAAAACTAGCAGGATGGTAAACCTTCATTCATGCTACCTTCAATTCTCTTTCCCACCTTTTATCCCTTTTCATACAGTAAAATCTTGATTATTCAATTTCAAAAACATCGAAATTTCCACATTTCAAATTCTTAAATTGTTAAATTTCCAAGCATTCAAATACCCAAATTACTCAAATTATCGAACTCGAAATCCTTCTTGAATTCCTCGAATGATCAAAATCCCATATTTTCGAATTTCTACATTTTCAAATTTGCGAAGTGCAAAATCTTCTACCATATTTTTTCGATTATCCTACGTAAGCTCAGTTCATATTATCTTGGACGATAGAGACTGTACTGTACGTTCAAATAAATTATTCCAGTGTCTTCTTCGCGCACATTGTCTTACCAGCGCGTTTGATCTTCAATGATGTCTTTCTTGGCAGCGTTTCAAACAACGGACAATCGCGAAAATGAACATTCAAGGGAAGCCCGTTTCTAACTTAATAAAACGATTAATCATAAAATCGTGGAATGCTGCATTCGTGGTGGATACGTAGACGATTCGGAAAATGGTGGTTACGTTTTTTAAAGGCACAGGCAACAGATATATCAATAAAACTGATTCATGCAAATTATTATTTTCAAAGCAAATCTACGATAATATTTTGTTAATTATTTTAACTATTTTGTTGTACTCGAATCGCGAACGTGCGATTATTATAGAATAAGGGTGTCTCACAACTAGTGTAGGTCCCTGAAATGTAGCCGACGTGATTCTGGATATTTCCCTTTGCAAAAATGGGGTTTGAAGCCTCGTTTTTGAATTATTAAGGAAAAAGAAAGCTTCAAACCCCATTTTTCAAAGGGAAATCTCATCCAAAATCACGTCGACTACTCTCCATTTCAGGGACCTACACTAATTGTGAGACACTCTGTATGTTGATCATTAACGATCGAATCGAAAAATTCAACTAAATCAGCGTCATAAAAGCACCTCGCGGATCGTACGGATCATAGACAAATTTTGTTGCCGAAATCGCTAAGTGTTCTTCGATATATATTTGAATGTTCCTATAGAAATCTCTGTCTATAATTTTCTATGTTATACAATATTCTATATTATAAAAGAAAAAGAATTGTTTAAAGGGGAGGCATGTTACGTCGATTTGAATTCTTGCACGATTATTAAACGGAACCTCATTTTTATTGTAGCTATTTTATCGTTACATTTCATGACGCACGTTTGATCGATCATCGATCAGTTAACACCGTCGATCGTTAATACCGTAACGAGTCGATCGAAGAGGGTTCTATCGAAGAAATTGCAACAGCTTACGTTGAAATTTCTGCAAGCAAGTCTTACGATAGATTTAATAACAATATTCTGTTTCGTTTCTTAAAACGATTACTTTTTTGGCGTATGTCCAATACGTTGCAAACAACCAACCCTTAACCCTCTCATGCATGAATGTTTTACACTCGTCCGCCGAAAACATATTGTGGGTTTATCAACTGATTGTTAAATATTTAGTTAGATATGTCCTTATACATAGACACGAACAAAAGATATGCTGTTAATAACAATTGTGAAAAATCAATTTTTGTTGTCACCATGTAAAAGAGGGTTAATACAATTCATCTTAAGTAAAAGTATATAGAATTTAATCTTCTGGCGATAAAATTTCCAAATCCTTTGGAAACTACCTCTTCAGATTTTAATGAGCTTCGCATGTTGATAGATAATGGTATTACGGTTTTTTTTTTACTCAAAGTTCTGTAACTTCCAATTAATACTTCAGAGAGTAAAAGAAACTTTTCCAATTCTGTCTCGTATTATTACCAGCAGTTGAAAACGTGAAACTCGTTATAACATAATTTATCGATATGCCACAAGTCATTAAAATCTGAGGAAATTAATAGTTAGCATTGGTTTCCGACATTTAGGAGACACGTTTGAAATCACACTGCAAAGAATCAAATGATACTATTCTAATGTATTGCAACTTTTACAGACAATTATAAATGAGTAATCAATAACGCTAAGCATCAAGATTTGGATACATCTTTCAATTCTAAAAGTATACAACTTCAATTCACGCAATCCGTCGATCCGCAAAGTGTTTCATTAATTTGAAAATGAACACTGGAATGTGTACTGTACATGGGATGCTAAAATATTATATCATATAAGTGTACATGTAGGGAGGCATGATGGCGGGAACACGCGAAAAATTCTGGTACACAAATGATTTCACGAAACGGATGCACGATTTATCACGTATATATATGTATATGTATGTATATATATATATATTAGATGTATATATAAAATCGTCTTCTTTAGTTAATATCAATAACTCGTATATACAAATTTGTCGTCTCATTTCGCCTATCGATTCTAAATTCCCGATCTGCTCGTCGCTTAGCCGATCGGACCGCTACTAAAAATGTTGATACACGTGCGAACAGCCTGATCGGAAGATAAGAATAAGTTGCCAATGCCTTCAAAATTTTAGCGTCGGTAGTACGATGCCTCGTAAATACACGCGAGAATACCTAAATGATATTAGTGTACCTTGGCTAGCTCTTCCTACGATGAACGTTTCAAATCAGGGTTGTACGAGCTCCTGAAATTACGGGTACCACGATACGATCCCCAATAATTCATAAATACCTAGAATGTACTAGTATCCAAATTTACGGCTACCTACAAATTGATCAGACCTTGTATTATACTCGGATTTTTCAAATTCGCAACCATTTTAATATTTTATAGCGTAATTAACCACGCATTATATTACCTATACGTTATATTCGCCTGCACATTGTCACGCGTTATATTACCTACACGTTGTACAGTTACAAGTTACATTGTCTATGCGTTGTATAACCACGCGTTACATCGTCTAAATGTGTGGCCACGCGTTACGAGGTTTACGCGTAGTACAGATATGCGTTACATCGTCTACGCGTTTTATAGCGACGCGTTACATCCTCTACGCGTTGTATACTCATTCGTTATATCACCCATATCGTCTACTCATATTACCCACGCATTGTATACTGTGTCCCATTCGTTGTCATATAATGGGATTCCACCGTATTTATGCGTTAACAAACTTTCGGAATCTTGACTTGAGTCGACCCATAATTTCAGGTACTCTACACCACTTTTACTACTAACGTGTTCCTTAATCGTCTCTATCGGTTTTGCTACGATCGTTTCGTCTACCGGTGGCAAATTCGACAAGCAATGAATGCATAATTATTTCATCATGTTGGCTTCCACACTAGAATTTGTAACTCACAGGAAGCATTGCAACACAATGAATTCCTCGAGATGCTTTTAACGACAAATTTTACCGTGACACATGTTTGTCATGAATGTCTCGGCTTGGTCAAGATATTCTTTTAACTTATGTTCAATTTCACCAAAAACGAATCAAATTATCACTTTTATACTTTGTTATTATTCTAGCGAACACAATGAACACGGTATTTGTGCTTATATAGAAAAAGATGAAATGAAATGTTCCGCGTATTTGTGGCAAGCACCCGTCAAAATTCGATGAAGGTATAAAAGGATTATTAGACTCACAAGGATAGTGAGTCGCAAGAATACATTAATCACTTCACTTAATTGTTAAAAAAGCGAAAGCAATTTAACAAAACGTTTAAGAAACGTACGTTTTATAACCATTATCCTCTTTTATATAAATACTCGCATTTTCAAAGCTAAAAATAACAATCCCTATAAACAAGTCTGCAATTCGAACGGATTGCTATGACGCTGAGTACGATTAAATGAACGCGTAATCTAATTAAGACTTGGTTCGTTGATGGTGAAACCGAATGAATTGAGCGCACTCGTTAGAATGTAATTAAATATCCCTCTATGTACCATACATTCCGGTACAAACGGAAAACGTCAAACAGTAACGACACAAAGGCACGACGAACCTCTAACTCCTTTAGCCGGCATTTAAATCTTTCAATTGATCCGTTCAAATTTCTAAACACAGGTATTTGATTCTTTTTGTCGATGTAAAGGACAATTGAACGTCAAAATGAAGCGTGTGTGCGTACATTGTGGAAATAATAATTTCCATGTTATAATTTTCGAAAAGAAAGAGAAAAGAATAAAAGCAAAAAGTTGTAACATTTGAAGACTCGAAAAGATTCGGAGTTACATCGACGTTCAACCCTTTTGGTTCTTTTGGATGTGTGAATAATTGGGTACCTAGTTGTCGAGTGGCACCGAAAAAGGTCATGCAAATTCGGGCGGTGATCCTAGATTATCTTCGTAAAAAGTTGACTACTGCTAAAAACCTCTAATTTTCATATCCAGAAAAGTAAAAATGTACGAATTTCAAATTTTCAAATTTGAAATTAGGTTTAGGTATCGTGGGGGTATATCTTGGATATCCGTCCGAAATTGTCCGATCTTATTAGACTCGACCCAAAGTCAGAATGTCCACACATTCTCATTCTTTTTTCTTTTAATGTATACGTACTTTACTGTATTACAATTAACGATTCGTTTACATTAATTGATAATGAAGCTCGTTATTCAAAAGCGACAACGTTTCAAAATCTGAACTATGCATCCTAAAGGATTAAACGACGATTTAAAGTAAAGGTAAAGATTTATTATCATCTTCGAACATCATTAAAATCATGAGAAAGGAAGGAAGATTGTAGGGCACCAAAATAGTTTGGCAATGTAAAAGTACATCCGTATAAATAATCTATCGCTTCGATATTTATTTCTACAATTAATATTAAACCTGTCTTCACTTTTCTCGATAACGATGGAATCTTGGACGATTACAAATTCACCGGGAAAATTCACTGGAAGCTTGAAACCTTATTTGAACAAAGACGAGCGCAAAGTAGAGACACCATTAATTATTACTAGAAATATAAATAATTTTGCTTATACAATCTGTAAAACGTTATCCTCTATTCTTCTTGGTCTTCTAGATAAAATGATTACAAACAGAGATTAAAAAGTTCGACTTGCCGGCTCACAGAGTTTAACGCGTCGTATCTTTTTCAATAGACGCCATCACCATGAATTAACATCAAGGTGAATATTAAGGTAGTCTAAATGTCAAAGATATTTTTCTAGCGTCGCGTCATTACAAATCGACGATATGCGAAAAATCGATGTCCGAGAACAAAACTGATGCCGTTGGGGCATCGTAAAACACGCGTCAATTACAATGACAATTAATTATACTCATAATAATAAACGCGATGTTAAACGTGAACGTTCCTCCTTTTTTATTCGCACTGCTGTACATTCGAGTACAACGTAGGCTTCCTTTGGCTAAGAACTAAGGAAAAAGAATTTTTAATTTTGAGATATTAAATGAATTTGAAAATTTCCAAACTTCTAAATTCTTAAATTTGAAAATTCAAATTCCCAAATTTCTAAGTTTCTAAATTTCCAGCTCTCCAAACTAGCAAATTTGAAAATTTCCAAATTTCTAAATCATGAAATTTTCAAATTTCTAAATTTCCAAGATCCTATATTTTCAAGCCCCAAATCCTCATATCCCAGATCTTCAAACTTCTAAATTTTCAAATTCCCGATTTACCAAATATTCTAAATTTCTACATCCCCATATTTGTAAATTTTCCCAATTTCTTCCATCACCATGTTCTTTAGGAAAGCCTATTTTGCCCGCCATTGTACGTTGAACAAGAAGACGACGACATATTATCCAAAGAAAGGATTCTCGTTTGGTTAACTTTCGTAAATATAACAAAGTGACTCGACGTACAAGTTTTTTGGAAGCTTTGAGTACATGTTCTGTGTATACATGTGTGTGTGTACGTGTTATCATTGTATTTGCGTGTGTTAAACGACAATCGATACATTTCCCTGCGGAATTATATCTCTAGCGGAGGCTAATAGTTATGAACAAATAGAAACATCGAAAAGGCCAACCGATGGGATGTTTGAACGTCGTAGCAATTTATCGTTGGGAACGGCGAGCAGTGAAGTCGAAGTACGATCCGCACTTTGAGATTATGCTTCGAGATTAGTTTTTGCTTTTTGTGACGCCTGTCGCGATCCTCAGCCAAGATTCTGAGCCGTCAAACAATCATACGGCACATACGTAACACGACGGACAACAACGAGTAACATGCAGTTCGGGTCACGGAGCTGCGTAACAATAAATACCGCAGCACTACTAACAGCATCGCGAATTCTAAAGCCTTGTGAAACCAATACAATCTGAAACATAATGAAATCTATTATGGAACATCATAGTTAATAGATGACATCTGCTCAATTTATGTGCTAACACCTTCTTTCTTCTCAATAAATGCATGAAGCTCGCATTCTAAAATATCTTATTAAAAGAACAGCATAAACCATACTACTAAATTATGTTGAATATATTGACCAATAATAAGCTCCTTTTACATTAAAAAAAAACAATTAATATGTTGAACAATAAAATTTTGGCTACATTTATAAGATTTGGAATCGAATATCTCCTTAAAAAAACATTTGAGTATGTTTGATAGATACTTCAGGATTTTCAACTTACCTTTTAATATGTGTACGAGCAGCTGGCAGTGTGTCCGGACTCTCTTTCAATAGAAAGTGCCGAATTCCCAATATGTAATGTTCTAAATACGTTGGCCAATCAATTTGTCTGACATCAAACATAAACGTCTGTCGGTCTTCTAGACTAAGTTGTTCTTCTAAGTTTCGAACATTGTCATCCCTGAAGTTCCACTGTTGTGTGCTGAAATACTCCAAGCATTTGGCAGCTTTACGGAGTTTTACTTGTAGGCCGACCATAATGGTCGGTTTGCCCTTCAACCGACAAAAGAAGTCTAAAATATACGCCGGTACCACGTGCTGGAAGAGGGCGCACATTTGGTTCATTATAACAGAATTACGGCATCGACCACCTGGATACCAAATCGCGCCGTTCGGTGGATGCTTTCGCGTGTACTTGAACATCAGATCAACAAACTGTTTCCAGGTTATTGGGTTCTGTTGACCTGTACAACAATTATACACGGGAATAGTTTTCGTGCGATTCGTGGCGGTTCTCCATGCCGCGCAAATCATCAGATTTATTACTATGTCAACGGGCACCAAGTCTGCGATCATGTTTTCATGACACAACATAGTTCTGCAACAAATACGTTTACTATTATGTTCAAGCTACCACGATAATCAAGTATTAATTTATAGATTTTTTTAATGGGAAGAATGACTAGTAAATAAATTTACAAATTATTATTATTTTAATACTTTCATGTGCTAATATAACTCATGGAACATTCTGCCGGTTAGCAATTCTGTTCCTAATAAATGTAGTGAATGATTTTTAAGGAATTCGTGTTTTGACATAAATTATCATTTTGAATAAAAATTAATGCTAAATTCAAGGGGTCCAAAAAGCTTTTTACTTTCAGGACACTTTTCATGTCATGAAGGCTCAGAACATCTTATTATAATAAAAAATATCGCACCTGAAGACACCCTTGCCAACAGCAGCAATAAGTCCCGTAGGTCCATTACAATTGTCTACCCAGCCAGCTACTGGTTCTCTAAGCGACGATAAAACGATAGAAGGTCTAACGATTGCTACTGGTAAATAACCAGATTCCAATTGCAATATCCTTTCGGTGAGGGCTTTGGTGAACGTATAGGTATTCGGTCGATTACCGATCAAAGCTGGTGTTATTTCATCGACCATTTTCGTATCCATGATCTTCGTTAATGCGATCACATGCTCAGGTTCGGCTTCAAGCGGATAAATTTCTTCGGCAACATCCTTGCGGTCGCAATTACAATATGCTGTCGACACGTGGATGAGGGCCTTTACAGAAAAAAGTATGCAAATTAATACGGTGTAGGAAAAAATTATCTGATACACAGGATATGCAAAGCTTTCGGATAATATAATTTTAGCAAAAGTTTAATTTCGACACGGTTTTGAAGCATGTTATCTGTGATAAATTTAGCCAGGAGGTTGAAATATGGTACAGACATAACTCATCAAGTTCCACGGACTCGATCAATGCATCAGAATGGCTTCACTCTAGCATTTCAGAAACATACAAATTAATTGGTACTTGGATGTTGGCGTCGAATTAATTTCGGGTTAGATTTTAGTATATCTGTTAACTGTTAGGATTTGTATCTTCTGAACACATGAATTTCTTAAACTAACAGAAGATTTCTACTTTCGCTTTGCAGTCCACAAACTGTAGTGGTTTTGGGTCAAGATAGTTATGAAGGTATCGAAGTTTAAGTCAGCATTTTAGCATACTTATTTTTGTTTCTTTATCGTGTAATCTTGTATATATTTTTTAAATGTACTCTATTCTTTGCATATCGCTGTGCATGAAACAATTCTATTGAAATTTTCATTATGTTTTTAATGTGAATAATGTTCGAAAAATATTACCTCTAAATTACACATGCGATGACACAAATTCAGAAGTTGTTTGGTGCCAACCATGTTGATGGTCACAGAAAGTTTCAGGGCCTCGTCGAATTTTACAGTAGCAGCGGAATGAAAAACTACTGACACATTTTTAATTAATACAGCCTGGTCAGCTTCCGAGATTCCCAATTCATGTTCCGTTATGTCTCCAGCCACAGGAATCACTTTCGACAGTTCTTGTGGATAGTCTCTTCGCAATTTTTCGAACAGCTGTCAACATACATTATAATACATTAATTCGCTTATCACTTCATCGTTCCGTAATTAACTTCTTTCGGAATTTTTTGACGGTTCTTTGAGGATTTAGAAATTCGTTTTCCTAAAAATTTAAAAATCTAGAAATTACAAAATTTATAATTTCGAAAGTTGCTAAATAACACGAGATAAATAATGCATTCAACATCCTTCTTGGTACTTTACAAAACGTGGGTAATTAGACCATAATTTTGACGAGGTCAAGTCCACTCGGGTCTCTAACTAGTTACAGCAATTTTCTTAAATACCGTCATCAAGTTCTTCAACCGTGGAGTTGAAAATAAATAAAAGAACAATAAAACTCATCTTACCGGTCCATCCAGTAGTTGTCTCAACCTCTGTTGGACATCCTGTCCCCTCTTGGGTCTCATCAACAAATAAATATTCTTGATTCCTGGACAAGATCTGAGTAACTTCTCGACGAGTACTTTGCCCATAAAGCCGGTACCACCGGTAATGAAGATAGATCTGTCCCTATAGAACTCCTTCACAGACGTACACTGAGTGCCAGTCATCGTGCTCATTTTAATGTGTTATATCTTTTTTATAACAGCAAAATAATCCTTTGACACTAATACTTCTCGCAACGACAAATTTCTTCGGACCTATCTCAAGATGATGGATAGAAAAAGCACTTTCAGCTTTGTTCTTCGGTTTGTTCTTTGGTCTTGATACGATTCTTTGCCACCTTCGGTGTATCTCAAGGCTACGTATTTGATATCTATTTTACACCTGGTTCGCACTGTACAATCGTGTGGAATATTAAAGACAGCTTCCTCAAAGATGAGGAAACAAAGTTTGAGAAAAGTGCAACGAAAGCTGGCAAATGTTCACGCCGTTCCAGGTTTTTCCAAGCGGACTACAAATGGATTTGATTTCTGCTGGACTCATTTCGTGCCTCCTGCGACCACTGCTTCTACTTTGACTGTAATCAGATATGGAAAGAAGAAGTTAGTTTCGCTGTGATAAAAGTATGTGATACGTGTGGTGACTGTACGGTGTTAGTCAGTGATCATTCTTGACCGCTTTACGCTATGGTTACTTGAATTATTGATTATGTCATCAGTGAGTGATACGAGACTTGTAGATATCTTGGCGAGGACAATTATAGAATATGACGATTTGCTGGAAAACATATCTTTCAAATTTTATTATTTTGAAATTTTGCATTGGTTGATCAATGATATTGTATTGGTTGAAATAATTGTAGAAGAATTTTACTTAGTTCGAATAAATTTATGGGTAAAGACCCATTTTTGAAACTGATAATTTTTCACGGCCCACACACTTTATTTCGCAAAATTGTAAAATTCAAGAGTGGCGAAACTTTTCAAAAACAGTAACCGCTCACGCTTACTCTATGCTCTACGCACCTCTAGACACACCGGAAATATTGTCGATTATTTTTATCAAATATGTGATAGGAGGTGTGTGAAAAACGATAACTGTAATACTAAGAATTTCTACTTTACCAGATAGTGACAGTAGAGTATACCTAGTGTCTTTTATTAAATTCTTGTACACCGACATCGATAAAATGTTGCGAAATCAACTTTTAATTACGATGCGATTTGCCTCACATTCGAAAGTCAAACAATTAAGGGTGAACGTGTACATGTACAAAATAATCGATTACGATTATAATAGAAACAATAGATTATGATTCAAAATAGCTGAACATAACTATAATCAATGAACAATTGCTTCTAAATAAAGAACGCCAGCACAGTGCCAACAAGATCCAACTTTTCGACAGTGTCTCAAACTATAAAAATAAGAAGTAGGTCAAAGTTTTGTCTCGAATCGTTAAAAGAAACGTGAAAGTGGACTAACAACGGTTGTATGAACGACCACCTTTTACGTAAATACATTAGAAGGCACCTTGAGTCTTGCTTCAACGAAATTGCCAGCCAATTCCATCGATAAATGTACAATGAACAAGTCCACAAATTTTGGCTGCTGCGCAATCTTATTTAAATTCCTAAGTTTTTAATGACCGTATAACATGAATGGAACGGACAAAACATAAGAAAGTATATGTAGAAACGACTGACTAATGCGTTAGCATCGAAAGTTATCTAACAGTTTATTATGCCTTTCGTGGCTCTAAATTATTCAGAATTACATATTACAGATTACATAATAATAAATAGGATTCCTTTAGTATTATGCATAATGCATAGAAATGCGATTAATGACTGTATACGATTTGCGGCGTGCGACGAAATACTATGGTAATATATCAAGAGCGGCGATATACGAGCGATGTATCACGCGTAGTCAAATTCGACGCGTGGGAAAATATACGTGGCGATATACCAAGAGTGACGATATACAAGAGGTAACGTATCGCTCGTAGTAATATTTGACGCGTGTTGTCAAGAGTTGTGATATACGTATGACACATGCATGGCAATATATGTGTCATTTCCAGCGTATACTAATTTCCAAAAAGGTTGAATTATCTTGAGTATCTTATCTAAAAGTAATAAAAAGCAACAAATATTTCAGCGATTAATTTTAAACAACTTCGTTAGGTCTGAGTTATTAAATAAATAAGAATCTTTCGGAAATTACGAGCTGATAAATGGCTGTTAAAAAAACATCGACTACAGAAAAAAGGTTCGCATAAAAATCTGGTTGTAAATATTGAAAAAAGTTCATAATTCCATAATTACATCGAATAAATACTAATGCGAATTTGTCTCGCTGTTCATTGCAACAAATGATAAATGACAAGTGAAAGATTAATTGCAAGGTATGTAATTTAATGATTTGTCAACGTTCATTAATTCAACTCATTATCCGTGTTAATATATAATTTTACAGATTCTAAATCACTCTAAAATCCCACAGCAATTACAACTGATTTCTTAATTAAAGGAAATTTTATGACGAGTTAAACGCGAATTATCAATTATTAAACTGAAAATTTAATTGACTAAAAATCAATGAACCGCTCGTTCTAACAATAAACCATAAAGTTACGGGTCTTCACTGTCTCAAAATCATACGTTAACAGTTTTCTGAGGAACAGAAGATAACAAGGTGTTATCACATACTAATTAAGCGAACTTGTATAACTCAGAACCGACGTAAAGGACACAAAATAGCAGGGGTTCAGAAGTCAAATTGATGCTGCATCGTTTCTAGAGCAGCAGTTTTTCGAGAGTCAATGGTATGTAAAACTTTTTCAGAATTTCCTCATAAAAATAAAAGTGAAGAATGACAGTGGTTACGAAGAGAAGAAATTTTTCGAAATACGTGCTGCTAAGCACAAGTTGGGAAACGCTAGAGCGTTCAGAGAAGCGGTTTCAACGGGATTCTAGGTCAGCGTTCCGGCCTCGAAACGGTCACGAGAATCCGCTCGTTCCTCGGCCTCCGCAGACGAAGAAACAAGGAAGAAAGAGAGGAACGTCGCTCGGCCGACCCCGTTACATGAAAACCCGTTATACGCCGAGGAACAACGACCGCGACCGACTGACTGACACAATCTTCTTTTCCTTTCCGTTTCTCTATATCTCTCTTAATCTCGGGAATTATTCTCTCCTTCTTTTACCTCTCCTTTTTCTTCCATTCAATTAACGTGTTAACTGTCCACGCTGAATTTATATATTTACTATGGTACTCGATGTGGCTCAATAGTCCTTCAGACAACTTTCAAACTATCAAATTTTGAAATACATTTATTTCCAAATATTCGGGTTTCTGAACTTTTCAAATTCTCAACTTAATTCCCAAATTTTGAAATTCATTTATTTCCAAATATTATAATTCTCAACTTATAATTCTCCAAATCCCAGATTCCTGGACCATGAAACCTTTGTAGTTTTTAAATTTCCAAGTATCTGAATGTTCTTAATTTTTCATGTTACTCAAATTTCAAACTCTCTAAATTCCTAGATTTATCAATATGCAAGTTTTGCCATTTCAAACTCCTAGATCCTCAAAATCAAATTTCTAGAAAAAATCAAATATCTGTACCTTTAAATTCCTAGGTGATCAAATTCTAGGGCCGTCAAATTCGTAGATTACCATGTTAGTTGGTTTCTAAATGCTTAGGACCCCATATTCCTAGGTTTCTAAAAGCTTAGGTCTCCATATTCTCAGATCCCCAAATACTAATGTCTCCAAATTTTTAAATCCACAAATATATGTATCCTCAAATTTGCAAGTGACCAAATGGCTATCACAAATTTGAAGATTTATTCCTAGATCCCTAGATATTTGGATCTCCATATTCCCAGATCGCTACATATTTATATTCACAAACCTCCAGATCTCCAACTACCTACACTACCGTCCATAAGTATCCGGACACTTGGTTTCGTTATATAAAACATAGTTGAACTTTGTACGAAAGGTATTTAGGGTTATCATATCATTTGTAATAATTATCTTTTTTGAGGTGTCATAACGTAATAGAATTAATTTTTAAGTACAAATTATACAATGGAAGTGTGAAAGTAAAATTCATGTCCAGAAGTACAAAGTCCAAATTTGTGAATCTAATGAAACGCTTTCGATTCTAAAAAAAATTTTAATTTCTACTGTGTTTCATTTCTATGGTGCAGAACGTATTCAGAGGGTTCTTCGATATGTTTCAAGTGTTTGTAAACTGTTGGTAGATGTTTAGGTTCCCTCAATGGAGATAAGAATGGAGGTAACGCTACGCACTCGACAGTTTCGGTTTAGTTCGTCTGTAGCTTCTTTTCCATCGAGATATGAGTTCCAAACGAGAATTATCAATGGAAAAACGTTCCAGTATTCTGACCTGCGCAGAAAAAAAATCGATTTTAGTTACTGTTGCAGATACTTGAATAACTTTCATGCAACGCGAATGCATATTTCGCTGGTGTCCGGATACTTATGGACGGTAGTGTAGGTAGTTGGAGATCTGGAGGTTTGTGAATATAAATATGTAGCGATCTGGGAATATGGAGATCCAAATATCTAGGGATCTAGGAATAAATCTTCAAATTTGTGATAGCCATTTGGTCACTTGCAAATTTGAGGATACATATATTTGTGGATTTAAAAATTTGGAGACATTAGTATTTGGGGATCTGAGAATATGGAGACCTAAGCTTTTAGAAACCTAGGAATATGGGGTCCTAAGCATTTAGAAACCAACTAACATGGTAATCTACGAATTTGACGGCCCTAGAATTTGATCACCTAGGAATTTAAAGGTACAGATATTTGATTTTTTCTAGAAATTTGATTTTGAGGATCTAGGAGTTTGAAATGGCAAAACTTGCATATTGATAAATCTAGGAATTTAGAGAGTTTGAAATTTGAGTAACATGAAAAATTAAGAACATTCAGATACTTGGAAATTTAAAAACTACAAAGGTTTCATGGTCCAGGAATCTGGGATTTGGAGAATTATAAGTTGAGAATTATAATATTTGGAAATAAATGAATTTCAAAATTTGGGAATTAAGTTGAGAATTTGAAAAGTTCAGAAACCCGAATATTTGGAATGGTGTATATCCAAAAATTCCCAGGTTTCCCATTACGTCGAACTCCCATTATGTCAAACCCTTTTCAAATAAACGTCTAAAATATCCACAAATAACAGTTTCATTCGCCGCAACAGATATAATGTATATCCGTTGATACTGTCGTGTAATATGAACGCATCAATTAAAAATGATGAATACAAACAGCTAAATTAGACATCAGATAGCACGCAACGGTAAAGAATGCATAAACGGTAATTAAACGTCAATTATTAGCGGAAATTACTGGTTACGAAAGTGAAAGTTTATTCGCATACGTGCATATAGGATATGAATATCGCCAGGCGAGTAAAAGCTAATTTTTGCTATTTCAAAAAAGTATAGATAGCCCATAATTCACGATGGAATTTGAAACGTTACTAAATATTATAAAATGACTTATTTCAACATCGCGCAACGGTTCAATTTAAATAATAACAGATGTTCGTTATTCGTTTACCATGTATGTTATTAGCCAAACATTTGACCAACTTCGATCACGTTTTTATTTACACTACGTTAAACATATTTCCGTTCTCTTGTATGAATGAACAAATACTCCATATTTGTATTAAATACATAATATATGAAATTAGTATTTCGATTATCGGTATAATTTCTACAAGATTTTTTAAGACGCTTGCACAGAAAAAGCTAAATGAAAAACAGAATATGCATTGATTTGATAGTAAAACGAGGGAATGAATACTTTTACTTGCGTCATAAATTAAGATAATGTATGAAATTGCTAATACTTGTTCTTGTTAACAAGATGTAATATTAAAAAATGTAATAATTTTTGCAATAATAAATTCTGATCACGAAGAATCGCTTTAATAAAAGATACGAGTATGTTAATGAAATACAAGTTAACGACTGTGTGAACGACCTTATTATAGTTCATTCCATAAAGTTCAACAAAGAATACCGTGAACTTGAACTTTACTGACAGTCACTTTGAACTTACTTTTACTTTCGAATGTTTCACGAACTTTCACCGAGAAATACCAACTGGCAACGATCAGTGTCAAACAATACTGAAAGTTTTCGTGACAAAATTATGAAAAACAGTGAAAATTCAAATTTGAACCAATTCGTCAAGCTCGGGTTATTCAATATCGTAGACACGGGAAAACTAAGCTTCAAAATTTCTACATTTAGAAATTCAGATTTCGAAATTTAGGAAGATTTAGTTTTCTAAATGATTCCACTCCAAAAGCCCATATTTCCAAATTTTCAAATACTCACATTTCGAAATCTCCATTTTTCCAAACTTGGGAAATTGTCAACAATTAAACCCTGAAAAATAATATTGAATAAATTGTAATTAAGTATCAAAAAGTAGTGATCTGATGGCAAGAAATAAATATTTCGCGTTCATTTCTGAATTATGCTGATTACCGAAGATATTTTACACGCAGAACACATGAAAATGATGCAGCATTTACTGGGTTAATTACGTATGCCTGATAAAGGGATCAACGAGAGTCCACAACGAATCGAAGCCGAAGAACAGTTAGGAGATTCATCAAATCCTTCAATTTCGAGTAACAGTACAGCAGTACGGGAATGATTAAAATTCCGTGACGCACATTTCGTTCGTATGATGTTAAAGGAACGTTCATCCTGTGGATCATACTCGCATTACAATTCGGAAGCCGATGACCCTCTGACATACTTTGTAAGATTGTAACAAGTCGAAAAGAACAACCGATCTTTCTACCAGGTGTCCCAGAAATCCACGAGTTGATTCAACGTGCAAGAATGACATATTTCGCTTTTCAGAAAACAAAATTCAAAGCTTCGAAA